TTTTAGTTTGCTAAGTAGAGGTAGACTCATTAAATGTATATAAAGCCATGCTTCTAAATTGATTATAATGTTAAGAGGGTGGAATGAATGTACAGGTGCATTTTAACGGAAAACCAGGCGATATGAACTGGCTAGAATAAATTTTTTAAAAAGGTGAGAAGCATTTGGGGTTGGGTTTCTGCAGTCTGACCCAATCAGGAATGTATATGTGCAGGCAACCCCTGAGTTACAAACATTTGACTTACAAATGATTCATAGTTAATAACGGAGGCGGGACAACAGGAAGTGACAGAAATCTGCCCCTCAGAAGGGAAGTTCACTCCTGAAAGAATTATCATGGGAAAAAGGTGTCTCTACTGAAACTTTATCACCAATGCTTGTTTCCACAAGCCAAATTTTTCAAAATCCATTTATCACATGAAAAAGAATGTGAGGTGAAATCTTCCAAACGGGAACAGGCAGTAAAACAAAAACCCTAGGGGTAGTTAACCCTTCTCTATGCTATCCAAAGTGTGTGTGTGTGTGTGTGTGTATGACTGGAGTTACACTTAAAAATGTACCTGGTATGACTAACATACATAATTTAAGAGCAAACTTACAGAGCCCATCTTGTTCATAACTTGGGGACTGTATTACTTTAGAAAGAAGTTTCACTACCTTGCCACCAGGTATTTTCCTTTGCAGATAAAATTTGACATTACTTTAGATATCTAATCTGTTGTGGGTTTTTTTTATTATTACAACTATATTCTGGGAGTAAAGTCCATTAGGTCATTCATATGAACAGAAGGGGAAATTTCACTACACACCCAAGTCTAATTCCTCTTTTGCAAGGATATGAATTGTGTGACCTTCTAGATATGGTTAGACTAGAAGACTTGGCTGCCCTAGCTGGCTTAGTAATGGCTGATGAATGCTGGAAACTGAAATCCAACAAAATCTGGAGTGTTGCCTGATTCCCACCCTTCTTGTAGCATCTTTATGTTCTGGCTAGAATATAACAGAATAAACTGTCAAAACAGCCCTAGTGTGTGTGCGCTCCAAAGTAAGCTCAGTTTCATTTCAGGTGAATGTGCATAGGATTGCAACCTTAGGAGTGAATGATATAGATTCAATCTTTATCTATCTATCTATCTATCTATCTATCTATCTATCTATCTATCTATCTCATTTCTGGCTTATTTATTGATTTCCAGTATATAACAGTATAAATAATTCATATGACTTTCTCTTGAACTACATCAGATAACCAGATCTTACAAAGCTACTCTGTTGCTGTCATTACTTTTTTTTTTTTTACTTTATCACTGCAAAGTTCTTCTTCCCTGCAAGTGATCCACACTCTAAAAGATTAGCTATCCTTGTGGACTATGAAATAGCATTTTTCATTCATTTCCTTTTCTTGTTTAATTTGTATGAGTCTTTATTAAAAAAAATAGAATTTCAGAAGAAAAGAAAAACAGTAGTATTTTTCTTGGTGGAAGAAAGTATATAAAACAACATTTTGTCTTGTGTAGTCTGTATTTTCCTTTGCATAATTTCCTTAAAAGTGGGAAAAGAATAATTATGGTGCTTTACTTAATTGAATCATCGCACAAAGAGATGATTCATACTCAAAAATGTGTAATCATTGTAAGGCTTGGTTGTGTTCTAAGCCAAGCTGCTAGTTCTGGAGTGAAACATATATTTAAGGATATGATCTAAGTCAAACTAAGCTCCTTTTTAGAAACCCATCTCTCCAACCCATTCCTTTCTTGGCTGTTTTCTGTGTTAGAAAAGAATTCCACCCCAAAGTATGTCTGTGAAACACCACAGACAATAATATTTAATTTTAAGCAGCTATGTGAAGACAAGAATTCCTCCCTAAATAGTTTTTGTAGCTGTGTTGTAATTGCTTTACCTTAATTGTCTTCATTCTAAAATTCTGTAGAGTGTGATATTTTACCTTACCTATGTTTGTGTAGCATGCAGGGCCGTAGCCAGAAAAAAATTTCGGGGAGGGTTGAAAATTTCGGGGGGGGGGGGGGGGGTGAAACCTGCCTCCTAGCTCACGCTGAAGCAAAGAGCACAGCAGGGGGCAGAGCAGCCTTCAATCACCTGCAGCTCTGCCCCTGTCAACCACCTCCACCAAGTCTGGCCTTCAACACACACACACCCAACTTGGTTGCTTCACTACATCGGCTATTGCTGCAAGTAATGACAGTGTGAATAAATTGTCAATATTTGCTTGAGATAGTGCTTAGTTCTGGAGGGACTCTTAATTTTTTGCATCTCATAGACTTAGCATGGGGATTTGGTTAACCAGTTAAAATTCATGAGTAAACCAGGTTTTTTTAAAAAAAATCTGAAACATTTCGGGGAGGGTTTGAACCCCTGAAACCACCCCCTCGCTACAGGCCTGGTAGCATGGGCTAACTTTTGACTTGTGATTACAGTGTAATTGTGTTAAAAGCAGTGATCCGTTTTCTTTAACCTTTTCTTTTTCTGCTTGTGGTTGTGTTGGCAGTTTTTTCCTGAAATTTACAATGAATGGAATAGCCATGCAATAGAACTGCCTCATATAGTGTGTGTTTATATATGTGCCTTTAAGTCGCTTGTTGACTTATGGCGACCCCAAATATATTGACAGTTCAAACAGAAATCAGTAATTACTTCATTGAAATATTGTTGTGTCCATTATTAAATACTTTTTCTAAGTTAAAATGAATGTAGCAGACATTTTTAATGAATTGTTTTTTTATTGTTCTCTGGTGGTTGGTAGCCATTTGGGGATTACTATCAAAATAAAAGGGAAGATATACATATTTAACTGAAATGAATGTTACGAAAATGCATTTCTGCAACTTGTGGTCCTTTATGTCCAAAATATGGGAGTTAATTTGCATTGTTTAGATATACTGAATCCAATACTTCATGAACAAAAGCCTGCTTTAAATTTTTTAAAATGTTTTTTCCCATTGCACTTTAGCACTTCTCAAAGAGTTGTTCTTAAAGTCTGGATTGTCACATAAATTTTTATATGTGACAATTACTAAAAATAGAGCCAAGCATACCAGTAACTGCAGCTTTCAAGTGTGGTTTACTGACCTTTTCCTTGTTTGCAATAATTTGACATGTGTTGCTCTGTAACAAAATTTAAAAGACTTTCTGTTCCTGGTTTGAAAGTGTTATTTCCTGTTTAATTATGCAGTACTTACTTTGAAAGTAATTGTTATACTCCAGAAACTTTGTTTTTGTAGCTGATACAAACTATGTTGAATTGGTTGAGACTCTATGACAGTGATTCTCAACCTGGGGTCCCCAGATGTTTTTGGCCTACAACTCCCAGAAATCCCAGCCAGTTTACCAGCTGTTAGGATTTCTGGGAGTTGAAGGCCAAAAACATCTGGGGACCCCAGGTTGAGAACCACTCTATGAGATAGTCATTGAAAAACTATAGCAAAATATGCTGCAGGATGTCCTGCAAAAACAAACTTTTTGTAGTTTAATAAAAAAAAATTCAATGTTTTTATGATAGAACCAATTAGTAACCAATTAGTAACATTTATAACCCAAAACCAAAAAAAATGTGTTACATAATATTATTTAGTATTATTTACCTGATGAAGCAAACTCTATGTAAATAAATGTTAAGTAATTGGCAGGGTTTCCAGTACAGAGCACTTGCAGGCATGGAAACTGTTCATTTCTTCAGTAACTGACTTGTCAGTGAAGTGTTGCCTTGCGAATGGAAATGGGTGTAGGATTATCAACCCAATTGGTGAAGGTATTAAGCCTGTCACAATCCTACATTGTATAAACAACACATTCTCAGAAAGGCAAAAGAAACAATTGACAACCAAGAAAATAAACAAACACAAATCTGACATGGGAAATAACAGTATCAAAACACTGGCAGAACATTTCATTGTCCTGACACACAATCACTGACTTTCAGGTAACTATCCTGGAACATAACCAACTCCCCTCTCCCTCAAAACAAACCAAAAGTTAAAAAAAATGAAAATGAAACAACTAATTTAAGATATTATCATATTCCAGTCTATTATCAGTGGTAATGGTTTCTTTATAGATTTACATATATTCGTGTGTTTTCTCTTATCATGTTTATATAACAAGAGCCTTTTCAATTGAACTAACTTTTGTTTAAGTGGAATGTGTTGCTTTGACACCTCAAGATCGACAGTCGAGGTGCTTAACAAACTACATAATTGTTGCTGTTTTTGTGCAACAGTTTCTGACTTTCTGTATCCAGAAGTCTCTGTTCCCTACAACGACAGTATGTAACTATCCTTAAATACCAGTGTCTTTTAATATTGTACTCAAGTGCATCTGAAGAAGTATTTTGAAATCCAGAAAACTCAAAATAAATAAGCTAGTTCTAAAAGTATCAATAGTTTTCTACCTTCCTTCTTTTCTTCCTATATTGAAAAATAAGCTATTATTCGGTAAAGGGTTCAGCTGAACATATAAATATTGTATGACTATAGAGAGGCAGAATATATTATACCAAATCAGCTTACATAATAATGTTGTGTTTCACAATCTTATATTGTGTTCACCATCTTGAAACTTATGTTTGTACTGCATTCTTGCATTATAGTCCAGTATTACTCAAATTGGTGGTCTGTAGACCAATGTTGGTTTACAAGCCATCAGCTACCATTCCCTGGAGAGTTCCCGGCCAGAAAGAAATAGCTGTAACCAATTGGCACAAACATGACACTGGTTTCAGGCACACTGGGCAGGTGGGTGGGTGGATGCCCCTGTTTCTCACATGAAACAACAGAAAGCACTACTTTAGGCTTCATTTTTTCATTGGTGTCCTTGTTCTTGTTCTCTTTGCCATTTCAAGTGCATTGTGAGAGATTGTGATGTTCAAACTTGCTATATATGACTTTTTCTTTACTTTTGAAACATTATGTAAAATAAAGCATTAACATTGTTAAAATGTTTTGTTTTCTCAACTCCTGAAACATTTAAAAATTGTATTTGTTTAGGTGCTGCATTTTATTCACCAACTGAATACTGACACCGCTTGCTACAGTCCAGTAAGCCTTCATGAGTGGCTTCCAGATAGTGAGAGAGAAACATTTTAAGGAATGGAGTTGGCACACAGTTTGTTACTTAATGAAGACGCCTATAACCAACTGGGGGAATTTAAGAAAACAGAGTTTGCTTTTGAGTGGCTGAGGTTTTTGGAAAAACTTTTACCAGCAACCAGTCGAGTAAGTGTTAGATAACTGGCAATTTAAGAAAACTGTGTTTATTTTGTATTTTTGTCCCTGGATTCAGCAGCAGTGATAAACAGCCATTTGGGCAGTTATGCACAAATAGGAGAAGCCTGGTTAGCCACAAGATGAAAGCTGAATCTTGCTAAAACAGACTCAAACTTGAAAGGTTCTCAATCCAGCTAAAATCATGCTGAAACCTTTTCCAACAGAGTAAATGTGCATTCACTCCCTCACAGTTTGAAGCTTGCCCCACCACCAATTTTAACTATTCTACTCTTTCATATTTCTAGGCTGATATAAGGGAAAAGCAGAGTAAACTTGTTGAACAACTGGTATCTTTATTAACAAGTTCTCCAGGGCCTCCTGCCAGACAGCTTATTGCCAAGAATCTTGCTATCGTTTATAGCTCTGGAGACATATTTTCTGTTCACCAGACAATTGACAAATGCAATGAACTTATTCGTAGTAAGGATGATTCACCAAGTTATCTGCCTACAAAACTGTAAGTCCAAAGGTTTGTTTGTGTCATATTAAAATTGTGTGTCATTATAAACAAAGTAATGCATGCTAACTCCAAGTAAAATGTTACAAATTTATTGTTAGCAATTTATTGTTGTGTAGGTTCAATGAAATCAGAACTAACTCCAGGTTTTTGTTGGACAAGGCAAAACAGCCAGACTGTCCCTCCCCTATTTTCTTTTGTGCTATCAACTTGCTACATTACACTGTTAGTTTCTTGTTGTGCTTTTCTTGCAGTTTTGGGTCTTAAATCTGAAAGGTCAAAAGGGCTGGGCAAGAACCTAGTTATCAGATATAACTGATTGGAAAAGTCCACACCAGTCAGTTTATTATTTTGTGGTGTCAAGAGTTTTCCAGAACAAACCATATTGGCTGTGTGACTCATCTGGTTTTTTTCTCACACTGTGCGGAATGATAAATCTGTACTTTATTTTTTAAAAATCTGCTAATCATTAAAACACCAGTTAAGTACTTCAGCATTTCATTGCTATTTGTAATTAATTTTATTTTGACTTTTTATTCCGTTTTTTTCCAGGGCTGCAGTGGTCTGTTTGGGCTATTTGTACAAAAAACTGGGAAGAATTTTGGGCAACAGTTTTCTGGATACCGTAGGGAATATCCTTAAAGCAATGAAGAATGCAGAGGTAAGGAGATGTGAATAGAAAGCAGAAGTAGTAGAATGCTAGTATGGATCAATTATCAAGGGGTGAGGGGAGAGACACACACATATGAAAGAAGACAAAATCCAATTTTAGTTATAACTAGAATGAACACAAGGAAATGAATTGGTCTTTTTAGTCAACACTAATATAAGTTTCATTGATTTCAATGATTCCTCTTTAATTGGGACTAAAATTGAATTTGCCCATGATACCAGGATGGAAATGTTTCCTAATAAGAGCAGAGCCTTATTCTATGATGTTATGAATAGAATAATCTCAGGTCATTTTTTCTGAAACTATAATACAAACCATGCATTAGTATATAATTCTTTCATAAATAAAGCAGTTTTCCCCTTCCATTGAACTTATAAAGACATTTACTCTATCAACCCTGACAAAAGGCTTTCTCAGCTTCTCCCCTCAACTCAGACAGAAAATAGCTATTCCAGGAAATGAGCACAGGAACATTTCACCACTCAGTTGAAAGACAAATCAAACCTTTTGTTTTGTATTGCTATTTTTTAATAGTCACAACTGTTCCTTCTTAAGGGTTGGCACTGATCTGCCTATGCTTTTCTTTATGTGTGCTCTTCTAGCTAACAGAGTCAATTCAAACAGGTTTTGAGATCTTCAGTGGTGCAAGGATGAAAGTGCCAGTTTCTATTTCTCACTGTTGTTGAGAAATTAGGAAGATCTTGAGCAAGAACTTTAAACCTGGTTTGTAGTACATGATGTTAGAAATGTTACTCTAAGCTTGCTGAACAAAGGATGCATTAAAATATAAAAATATGGATCAACAAAATATTTTTTAAGCTAAAAAATGTAACAAACCCCTTTCTTTTTGTCAGTCTCAAGGGCGGTATGAGATCATGCTAAGTTTGCAAAATATATTGAAAGGGCTTGGAGCGGCGGCTATTCCATGCCACAGAGATATTTACAAAGCGGCCCGTTCCTGCTTAATGGATAGATCAATGGCAGTTCGCTGTGCTGCTGCAAAGGTAAAGCTGTATTCATTGTTTTAGTTATTAATCTTCCTTAAAATGGTGGCATATTTTAAATAGAGGATAAAAGAAACTCATTTTGCCTCTTTCTTGTGGCATAGAAATTATTTTTGTTACATTAAAATCTTTCCTTTATAAATGCTACTTTCATTTAACAGTAATTGTATATGTTACTGCCCAGAACCTTTTACGTAGGTCCATAGAAAGTATATGTTGGTCCATCTGGCCATTATTATTAACTCTGCTAGCAGCTATAAAAGGTTTCTGCAGAATTATTTTTTAGTCCTGATTAATTTCTCAAATCAAACAAGATTGCTGGATTATATTTTCCACTATGCATGCAAATGCTTGTTGTCCTCTGTCAGTTATCTGTGCAGTCAGTCTTATGGGACGTACTTGTGCCTTGCTAGTGTAATTTGCATTATTGATGTGATGATAACAAAATTCCATTCACTATGTCAAAGTCTGTATGTATTAATAAATTTCTTTTCTGTACTAAGTCAGGAAGTGATTTGCAAGTAAATATCCATTTATCTTTTCAGATTTTTCTTATACTGAAGGAATTTGTGTCACTTGGATTACTTCCCATATTTTGAAAATTACTATTTTCTAGATTTTGAAAAGAATGTACTTTAAACAGGAGAAAACATGCTTATGTGAAGATGTTCTTTATTTCCATGCCCAATTGAGGGACATTTCTTCATCGAAAAAGATAGATATACAAAATCTGAAAATCCTGTTTTTATTCAAATGCTGGCATATCTCTGTTAACAAAGCCTCTGACAAATTTCCTTTTTTACAAATCCTTTTTTAGATGCAGTATTTTAAGTGACACATTTACCACTCAAGATTTAATGTCTTCTGCTTGTTACTTCTGCCTTTCCTTCTCATTTTTAAATGTTTATCTTTTTATAGTGTCTTCTTGAACTTCAGATTGAAGCAACATTTATGTGGAGTACAGACCTGGATAGCGTTGTAACTCTGTGTTTTAAGTCCTTGGAAGGATCAAGTTACGATGTACGGATGGCTGTTTCTAAGCTTTTAGGTTGTGTGTTGGTTAGTGCTGTAACATCTAAACAAGGCACAGGTAAGTTTTATTGATACAGTCAGTAGCTTGGGTACCCAGCGTTGCTCGGGTTATTAGAAGAAGTCTTTTCTTTATTTTGCAAAATGCATAAGGTTGTGGGTGTACTAGAACTCACATCATGTCAGATTAACCCCCTGAAACTCCATCAATACCTAAAAGTTGTCATGTTGGGCAAATTTGGGGTTCATTATGCTCTCCAGCTGTAGGAAGAATTACAACTCCCACCATGGTGGGTCAGTCCCTTCAAATTCCTCCAGTACGTTCAGTTGGTCATGGGGGTTCTGTGTACCAAGTTAAGTCCAAGTCCATCACCAGTGGGGTTCGGAGTGCTCTTTGATTGTAGGTGAACTATAAATCCCAGTACCTACAACTACCAAATGTCAAGGCCAATTCCACCCTAAATACACCAGTATAAAAATTTTGGCATATTGGGTATGTGTGCCAAATTTCAGATTTATTAATGATATTGATGCTTGCCATTGAGGTGGACAATTTGTGATTCTCCATATATTTTTAGTTTGCAACTTCCATCAACCCTATCTGGTATAGCCAGTGATGGGGGGTGGTGAGACTTAGAGTCCAACAATATCTGGATGGCTAAAAGTTGTCTCCTGCTGTTCTATATCTGACCTCTTCCTGAGAAAATGTGGATATTAATAGCATTTGTGGCATCTGGAATTACCAATAATATGTGCTCACTTCAGCATCTAATTTTACTTATACACTGTATTTAAAAATGGCCATTTTCTGTCTTAAGAATTATGATATTTATAGACTGGAAAGCGCTTAAACTTCTTGATTCAGGAAGCCAAAGTTAAATATTACCACAAAGGGTCTGCATTAGCAGTGTTGTTGCAAGAATATTATAAGGCAAACATAATATCATATCCAATGTTAGCTAAACTGTTTGATACCTTGTCAGACCCCTTTTTTGGTAGTATTTAAATATTTGGGCTTTTTAGTGTCTTTAGTAAATGTTTACAATTAAAAATTCACCTGTATAAATTTAGTGTGGATTAAAAACTATCTTCAGTCTTACGTGCTTTAGTAATTCTGAGGCTGATTTTATGCAAGCTTAGCCTTGGGACTAAGTTCAGTGAACCTGAATTTATTTCTGGGTGATATAAACAAGATAAAGTTACCTAGGTTTCAGACTAAACCGTGTGGGTTTGGGAGGGATAGCTAATACTCCAGGAACAGAATTAAAAACAAGCTTATCAGATTACAGAGATGGGCCAAAACTAACAAAATGAAGTTCAACAGGGACAAATGCAAGATACTCCACTTAGGAACTAAAAATTGAATGTAAAGATACTGAATGGGGAACGCCTGGCTTCACAACAGAACGGAATGTGTGAAAAAGATCTTGGAGTCCTCGTGGACAAAAAGTTAAACATGAGCAAAACAATATGATGCAGCATCTGAAAAAGCCAATAGGATTTTGGCCTACATCAATAGGAGTGTCGTGTCTAGATTCAGGGAAGTCATGCCACCTCTCTATTCTGCCTTAGTCAGACCATACCTGGAATACTGTGTCCAATTCTGGCACCTCAATTGAAGGGAGATGTTGACAAGCTGGAATGTGTCCAGAGGAGGGTGACTAAAATATCAAGAGTCTGGAGAACAAGCCCTATGAGAGCGGCTTAAAGAGCTGGGCATGTTTAGCCTTCAGAAGTGCAGGCTGAGGGGAGACATGATAGCCATGTATAAATATGTGAGAGGAAGTCATAGGGAGGAGGGAGCAGGCTTGTTTTCTGCTGCCCTTGAGACTAAGATGCAGAACAATGGCTTCAGGCTACAGGAAAGGAAATTCCACCTGAACATTAGGAAGAACGTCCTAACTATGAGAGCTGTTCAGCAGTGGAACTCTCTGCCCCGGAGTCTCATCCAACTCTATAGTTCTATGATTCTATAATTCTAATATTTAGATATCTACACGCATTGTGATACAACATAAAAAGAAAGCTAATGCTACAAATGTGTGTTACAAAGTTTTATTTATTTGTATATTTTGCCCAAAAAAGCATCTGCCAGACAAAATGTTCGCAAAATCTCATTTGAGGAAGCCTTGGACCTATTGGGAACAGGTTTTCTTCGCGGAAGTTCAGGATTTCTACGAGCCAGTGGCGATATCCTAAAGGGAACGAGTTCAGTCAGCAGGGATGTTAGAGTTGGAGTCACTCAGGTTTGAATAATATTTCAAAATTTCAAATAAACAAGTGCTTTAATGCTTTTATTTCATTTGTTTCTAGAAATCAGTAGCAGTCTCTACTATCTCAAAACTTATATTGGTTAATAGAGTTTGTAACTGAAAATGTATTTTCAAGCATTTTGAAGTGGACTGGTTATTATTTGTTTCTAATACAGTATTATACAGTACTTTACTTAGAAATTTCTAACAGAAAATTTCTGTTAGAAATGTAATACAATGTTCTGGTTGCGGATGACATGATAAATAAATAAATACTTAGAAATTAACAGTACCTTCTTTCTTATTCAAAATTGCCAATAGGAAATATTTTATTTATAATTTATTTGAGCAAAGTATTTTCTGCAACACTCGACCCCTGATCCTAAAGTCAACAGTTCCCCAGCCTCCAAACAAAAAAAAACTGACAAAAATGGATGCTAGAAGTGGCATTACATCACACCAGTGCAGGCAGAGCCCTTGTGCAGGCTGAAATGCTGAACTGAAAGTTGGCAGTTCAAATCTGCGAGATGGGGTGAGCTCCCTTCTGTCAGCTCCAGCTTCCCATTTGAGGACATGAGAGAAGCCTCCCACAAGACATAACACATCTGGGTATCCCCCGGGCAACATCCTTGCAGACAGACAATTCTGTTACACCAGTTTCTCAAGTCACTTACAGTTTCTCAAGTCATTTCTGACATGATTAAAAAAAAAACAGCCAATGCACCAGGTCATGCTGGTACTGCCTACTGGTTGGGAATGATGAGGATATGACTTTCACTTCTTAGTTTTCTCTCACATGGTAAACAAGCTTTTAACTTTAAAGTGTGAAGTTTATACAAGTTTATTATTACTAATAAAACCAAACTGCTATGTTCTTCAGCAGTGTCCTTTTCAAATTTACAAGAGTAGTTCAAATGTCTACTCTCTCTAAAATTTAATTTAGAAAGTTGGAAAAACTTATTGGTGAATAACCATGAATATAAGCACTCGTGAAGCTCTCAAAGCAAAATATTTGCTTCTTCTCCCTGATGAGTAACTGTTAAAGTAGCTGCAGTATCTGTAAGCACATAACTTAATTCAGGTGCTGCAATACTACATAAAGAACAAAATAACTAATTTCAGAGATGTTTTCATATTTATCAAGATAGCAGCCGAGCCTGATCTATTGTAAATAGAGCTTGGCCACAATAAATGTAGCAATTTGCTTTGGGAATGTCATGTGGCCTCTTTAACACTTGAATGGGGGAAAAGAAGGTTTTGGCAACTGCTCCTGCAGTTAACCTTGGTGGCACAGTTGGTTCAAGCGCTGAGTTACTGAACTTGCTGACTGAAAGGTCACAGGTTTGAATCTGGGGAGTGGTGTGAGCTCCCGCTGATAGCCACAGCTTCTGCCAACCAAGCAGTTCAAAAACATGCAAATGTGAGTAGATCAATAGATACTGCTCTGGTGGGAAGGTAACGGCACTCCATGCAGTCGTGTCAGCCACATGACCTTGGAGGTGTCTACGGACAACGGTGGCTCTTCTAATGGAGATGAGCACCAACTCCCAGAGTTGGATATGACTGGACTTAATGTCAGGGGAAAACCTTTACCTTTACCTTACTGCAGGAAAAGGGAACTTCTGGTTCTCAAATATTATTGGGCTGCAATGCCCGTCAGTTCTTTTCAGCATAGCTGTGATGAGAGATGATGAAAGTTGCAGTCTGGTGTTTCCCAAATTATAGTCTTCCAGATGATTTGAACTTCAACTCCTTGAAACCTCAGCTGCCTTCACCAATAATCTGAAGTCCAAAACAACTCAAAATTCAAATTTGAGAAATCTGGGTCTTTTCCAACAACTTTTGGAATTCAACACATTCTCCAGATCTATGCTGGTGCCTGCTTAAGATATTTTGATGCCTCAAGAAACATTCAAATCATGGGCCAATATGTTAGAAGAAGGCAGGGCTACTTTTTTCTCTGAAAAATATTTGACAAGAAAAATCTCATGATAGAATTGCCTTAAGTTTGCCATAGGTTGGAAACAAATTGAAGACACACAACAAGAAAATTGCTGGTTTAGGGACATCAAATTGAATTGTATAAACAAAATTGTATATAACAGTCAAGCCCTGTATCAGGCTACCAAGGAAAATGTAATAGAGCTCATAAATTTTGGCCACCACCCCCCCCCCCTTGTTCCTGTTTTAAAATAATAGAAACCGTCTCTTGTTTTCCTCACAGTGCATTCAGCCCTAATTCTCAAACTGAGCTTTTGCCCTGGATTCTTGTGATAGGCTTCCTGTTTTAAGTTTGCAGTACTGTATTGTGCTTTCTGGAAAAAGAAAGCAATTGAAATAATTTCCCTTTCATGCTCAGTCAGACATAATACCATCTTTTTAGGGCTGCTCTCTGTCTTCAAATAAATGGAAACTATTTTGGGATTTTTAAAAGAAGAGATACTGCTGCACAATATCACTCTCAGTAACTAGGACAGTACTTGGCATCCTCACTTCCCATTGTGACTTCTTATCTATATGCATGCAATATTTATGAAGTAAACCTATTCATTACTTGATGAGTACGAGTTGATACACAGCAAGATGAATGACCTTCAGAGTGCATTTTTGAAACATCTCTGCATTCTTTCTGTTGTAATTCCTCTATTTTAAAAACAAAATATATTACTGAGAACTACTGTTTTAATCATTGCAGACATTCTGTAATTACAACTAGTACGGAGGAAATGAGAACCCTCAAGACTTCACATTGTTAATACACTGTTAATACACTGTTGTAGCTTTATATACAGAATGTTAAATCGCTGGAAGCTCTTGTTCAGTGATGCCAAAGTTAACATTTACATTAAAAGCAATATAAAGCAGAAAGAGACTAATGAATTTGCAATTAAGCTGGACTCACTGTTGTTTCCATTTTAATTGAAAACAGCCTGCAACCCCAACATAACATCAAATTTTGTCTAATGAGATATATTGTTTGAATGACTGACAGTCAAAATGTTTTCACCTCACTTCACATTGAGAGACTGTAAACATGCAGCTTTTTAACACAACTGGTTTGGTGATTTTGTAATGTATTAAGTGATGAATGCCTGCATGATGAAACTGAAGTGTTTATAAGTATTTATTTTGATGTAAAATATTTTTTTAATCAAATGTCTTTCAGGCGTATGTGGTATTTATTTCCACACTAGGAGGGCAGTGGCTTGAAAGGAATTTTTCTGCCTTGCTCTCCCATGTCCTAGACCTTGTCTCTCAGTCTCAGCCCAAAGCTATTCAGACTCAGTTAGACGCTATTTGCTGCCGCCGTTGTATTTCGTTTATCCTTCGAGCTACAGTGGGAGGCCTTCTTGGGGAAAAAGCTCAAATTGCAACTGCCAAGGAGATTTGTCAAGCCATCTGGAAGCTGAAGAAAGTTGTGGGTATGGGACTAACAAGATTATTTGCCATCCTTCCTCCCCCTCCTTTTCACTAGTACTTTATATCATTTCCTAATCTACTCATGAAGGCTATGCAGTGATGTTTCTAAGCCCTGTGGTAATGTTATCCCTGCAAAAAGTCATGTTCCTCTGGCTTTCTTTCCCCCATCCTCAGACTTTAAGAACATCTAATCATAATTTCAACATGAAAATGAGCCTTACATTTCCCCCATTATGTCGGTTTTTATATGTATTAAAGTTAGGATCAAAACAGATTTTCTAGTCTCAGCTCAATCAGTGAATAGCAATTCTGTACGTACATTATATTGATTTGGTAGGTCTACTAGATTCAAAGCAAGGTTTAGTGACTTGTCGCTAGGAGACAAGATCAACAAGATTCAGTTCAGACTGTAGTTTTGAAAATCAGGATAAACAGTCTGAGTTGACTCCGGTAGTAATGCACTTTCAGACCACTTTCACTGCCATGGCTCAGTGCTATGGAATCATGGGAGTTGTAGTATGGCAAGGCACCATCACTCTTTGGGAGAGACTATTGAAGACCTTGTCAAAGTACAACTCCCAGGATTCCATAACATTGGCCCATAGTCATTGTTTTGATGAGATCTTGTTTTAACTAACTGTAAAATTGTACTTAGGGCAACCTGGTTGCACAGCAGGTTAAACCGCTGAGCTGTTGAACTTGCTGACCAAAAGGTTGGAGGTTCAAATCTGGGGAGCAGGGTGAACTCCTCCTGTTAGGCCCAGCTTCTGCCAAACTAGCAGTTTGAAAACATGCAGATGTGAGTAGATCAATAGGTATCGCTCCAGTGGAAAGGTAACAGCATTCCATGCAGTCATGCTGGCCACATGACCCCTATGAACAACGCTGGCTCTTCGGCTTAGAAATGGGAATGAGCACCACCCCCCAGAGACGGACACGATTAGACTTAATGTCAGGGGAAATTTTTACCTTTACAATTGTACTGCATATTTTACATGCCCGTCTTCCCCTTCCCCTGCTAATAATTATTTGATACATTAATTTCTGTTATATTGCTAGATGCTGCAAGAAGTGACTGTAATGTGGAAACTCGAGTTGGGACAACAGATGTGATAGCTAGCCAGAATATGCTTATATGTGCCCTAGAAGAGCTTGGAAACATCATATATGGCTTAGGAACTACTGCTGCACCAGTATTGCAAGATTCTAGTACAGGTAATTGTTTTCTGTGCTTGAGTTAATGTATCTTTCAATTTTTGCACCTTTGGCCTGGAACTATAAAAATGCAGGTAAATAATTTGGCCTATTTCAGTGTGCTGTGGATTTGCAACAAAAAGTAAAACACCAAAATATGACCTCAGGACTATGAGTAACCTTCAAGTTTGTGGCCCCCGCACAAATTTCCTATGACTCCCAAAACTGCCCAAAATGGATCAGCAGTTTGGGAATGTGAAGGTTTTTAAAATGCTGTCTTTGTAAAGAAAAGGACAAATTCTGTTTATCTGCCTGTTTATCTCTCTTTCTCACTGTGTTCATGTGTTTGTAAATATTGCAAATATGTGACCTATGGGAGACCATGCTTGTACAGAAAGAAAAATCTTCCAAAATGTTGAACTTGAGAAAAACATAGATTAAAAAGAGCAACACCAAGACAAAATATTGTTGGGACATATTACACAGAATATTTTCCTTAGCTTGCTTAATATTCCTATTCTTCAGAAGTCATTTCTCAAAGTATGCTAATTTTGTCAATTTTGTGTGCCTTTCCAGGAGTTCTGGATGCAGTTATATCTGTTATCCTTCATCCCAGCATTTCTGTTCAGCTAGCAGCAGCATGGTGTCTTCGCTGCATTGCTGTAGCATTGCCTTGCTTTCTCTCCCCACTTCTGGATCGCTGTGTTGAGAGACTCACAGCACTGAAATCCTCCCCAGAAGCAGTGACTGGCTATAGCTTTGCTATTGCCGCTTTGTTGGGAACTGTAAAACAGTGTACTTTAGGAATTCCACATTGCAAGGGAAAGGTAATGATTAAAACTGCATCTTTTTATTCATGTTAATATCAAAAATAGCTCAGTTGCAAATTCAACATACTGTTGTTAGTAGTATTTTGGAACGAAGTCTGTGTATTGATTTTAAGTATGTCTTTATCTGCTGCCTAGTTTTTATATCTGTAGAATTCTGCAGGGAGCGGCTAATGCTTGTGCATGATAAAGATAGTAGTCTGCAAAACTTTGCAATGGTAGAAATCACCAGGTGGTTCAATTCAACAAATGGGTTAATGTGTTCTGTGAAGCAGACCTCTTTCTTTTTAAACTGGACACTTCGTATTGATTTATTTATTCCACATATATATCATAAGATGTGTTGATGAGTTCACTTTTTATATAGCTCTGAGGTACACCCTTCATAGACAATTAAGAGTGTGTCCCTTTGGGGAGATAGGATGGCAAATAAATTATTATTATTATTATTATTATTATTATTATTAGGTTCTTGTGGGTTTTTTCGGGCTATAGAGCCATGTTCTAGAGGCATTTCTCCTGACGTTTCGCCTGCATCTATGGCAAGCATCCTCAGAGGTTGTGAGGTCTGTTGGAAGTAGGAAAAATGGGTTTATATATCTGTGGAATGGCTGGGGTGGGGCAAGGAGCTCTTCCCTGCTGCAGTTAGGTGTGAATGTTTAGCTGATCACCTTCATTAGCATTTGAAGGCCTGCCTGAGCCTGGGAAAATCTGTTGCTGGGAGGTGTTAATCTGTGCCTGGTTTTTTCCTCTCTGTTGTTTAGCTGTTATAATTTTTGAGTTTTTTAATACTGGTAGCCAGATTTTGTTCATTTTCATGGTCTCTTCCTTTCTGTTGAAATTGTCCACATGCTTGTGGATTTCAATGGCTTCTCTGTGTAGTCTGACATGGTGGTTGTGTGAGTGGTCCAGCATTTCTGTGTTCTCAAATAATATGCTGTGTCCAGGCTGGTTCATCAGGTGCTCTGCTATGGCTGACTTCTCTGGTTGAAGTAGTCTGCAGTGCCTTTCATGTTCCTTGATGCGTGTCTGGGCGCTGCGTTTGGTGGTCCCTATGTAGACTTGTCCACAGCTGCATGGTATACGGTAGACTCCTGCAGAGGTGAGAGGATCCCTCTTGTCCTTTGCTGAACGTAGCATTTGTTGGATTTTTTTGGTGGGTTTGTAGATTGTTTGTATGTTGTGTTTCCTCATCAGCTTCCCTATGCGATCAGTGGTTCCCTTGATGTATGGCAGGAACACCCAGGCTTTATGGACTCCCAAAAATCCATAAGGACTCCACCCCACTCAGACCCATCGTGAGTGCCATTGGATCCCCCACATACGACCTAGCAAAATTTCTTGCTGCACAGTTACAAAGCCATATTGGGCTCACTACACACTACATCAAGGACTCAGCCCACTTCATAGAAAAAATCAGCAATCTCAAGCTAAATACAAACGACAAACTGATCAGCTTCGATGTGGTATCTCTATTTACCATGGTCCCGGTAGCAGACACCATGGCACTCATCAACCAGAGGTTCCAGAAGACATCACGTTCTTCTTTTCCATGGCTCCAAATTGTGAAGGTGTCATCCACATATCTGAACCATGTAGTGAGTTTTGGTTGCTGTTTCCAGGGCTTGTTCTTCAAAGTGTTCCATGTAGAAGTTAGCTATGACCGGCTGAGAGGGCTCCCCATAGCTACTCCATCTTTCTGTTCGTAGAATTCATTGTCCCACTGAAAGTAACTGGTGGTAAGGCAATGGTGAAACAGAGCCGTGATGTCTTCTGGGAACCTCTGGTTGATGAGTGCCATGGTGTCTGCTACCGGGACCATGGTAAATAGAGATACCACATCGAAGCTGATCAGTTTGTCGTTTGTATTTAGCTTGAGATTGCTGATTTTTTCTATGAAGTGGGCTGAGTCCTTGATGTAGTGTGTAGTGAGCCCAATATGGCTTTGTAACTGTGCAGCAAGAAATTTTGCTAGGTCGTATGTGGGGGATCCAATGGCACTCACGATGGGTCTGAGTGGGGTGGAGTCCTTATGGATTTTTGGGAGTCCATAAAGCCTGGGGTGTTCCTGCCATACATCAAGGGAACCACTGATCGCATAGGGAAGCTGATGAGGAAACACAACATACAAACAATCTACAACCCACCAAAAAAATCCAACAAATGCTACGTTCAGCAAAGGACAAGAGGGATCCTCTCACCTCTGCAGGAGTCTACCGTATACCATGCAGCTGTGGACAAGTCTACATAGGGACCACCAAACGCAGCGCCCAGACACGCATCAAGGAACATGAAAGGCACTGCAGACTACTTCAACCAGAGAAGTCAGCCATAGCAGAGCACCTGATGAACCAGCCTGGACACAGCATATTATTTGAGAACACAGAAATGCTGGACCACACCAACAACCACCATGTCAGACTACACAGAGAAGCCATTGAAATCCACAAGCATGTGGACAATTTCAACAGAAAGGAAGAGACCATGAAAATGAACAAAATCTGGCTACCAGTATTAAAAAACTCAAAAATTATAACAGCTAAACAACAGAGAGAAAAAAACCAGGCACAGATTAACACCTCCCAGCAACAGATTTTCCCAGACTCAGGCAGGCCTTCAAATGCTAATGAAGGTGATCAGCTAAACATTCACACCTAACTGCAGCAGGGAAGAGCTCCTTGCCCCACCCCAGCCATTCCACAGATATATACGCCCATTTTTCCTACTTCCAACAGACCTTCTCAACCTCTGAGGATGCTTGCCATAGATGCAGGCGAAACGTCAGGAGAAATGCCTCTAGAACATGGCTCTATAGCCCGAAAAAACCCACAAGAACCTAGTGATTCCAGCCATGAAAGCCTTCGACAATACATTATTATTATTATTATTATTATTCAAGTCTTCCTGGCATTAAGAGATTTTAAAACCTTCTCTGGGAGTTTAGAGGTTAGATGGCCATCTGTCACTAGTGCTTTTATAACAACAACAACAACAATGGCAACCGTAACAACAACTTTATTTGTATTCCATCCCATCTCCCCACCGGAGACTCGGGATGGCTCATAACAAAAGTGGCAGCCATTAAATACATAATAAATCACTGAGTATTATAACACAAGTAAACAAGATAAACTGTAAAAAAATATTGTGTGTTTCTGGATGGCGGCACGTTGGACTGGATGGCCCTTGTGGTCTCTTCCAACTCAATGAATTTATGATTCTTTAAGAAGGTTAAAATCCAGTGGTGCTTAGATAACTTTAAATGTTATCTCAATGTAATGTTAGGAAATTTCTCAATGTAATGTTAGGAAAGTGTGATCATCATTCCTCAACTCACAGATAGGGTCAGTATAAGGCTGAATACAGGTAGTCCTTGAGTTACAAGCATCAGACTTACAAACAACTCACAGTTAGGAACAGGGCTGAGACAACAGGAAACGAGAGAAATCTACTAATTGGAAGGGAAGGGAATTTACTCCTGAAAGAGTTATTATGAGAAAAAGATGTTTCCAAAACAAGCCAAATTATTATTATTATTATTATTATTATTATTATTATTATTATTATTACCCTAAACTTATATCTATATCTTCTTCTGTAAATACATAAAAGTCATAATTTGTGAGCGATAGCTTTCCAATGCAGCTCCAAATTCCAGATAGCACTGTGACTCCCACCAGCGACGGATCTGGACCAAATATCAAGAAAGCAATCTGAACCCCACCAATGATGCATCTGCACCACACTTGGCACACAGAACCCCCATGACCAACAGAAAATACTGTCGGGGTTTGGGGAGAGGGGGGACTGACCAAACATGGCAGAAGTTGTAGTTCACCTTGCATTGAGAGAGCACTCTGAGCCCCACCAATGACGGATGTGCCCCACACTTAGCACACAGAACTCTCGTGATGAGCAGAAAATACTGGAGGGGTTTGAAGGTACTGAAGCACCATTGTGGAAGTTATAGTTCAGCCTGCACCCAGAGAGCACTGTGAACCCAAATGACATTGGATCTAGACCAATCTGTGGGTGCATACCCAACTTGACACACAGACCTAGCATACTCGACTTTTAATACTAGCAGTGTTTGGAGGGAAACTACCTTGATTTTAAAGAGTTGTAGTTCACCCCCTTCCCCCCATCCAGAGAGCATTGTGGATGCAACCAATGATGACTCTGGACCACACTTGGCACACATACCCAACATGCCAAACTTGGAATACTGGTGTGGTTGGAAAAATGACATGTGATGATAGAAGTTGTAGTTTACCCACATTCCTACTCATTTTCTAAAGGGCCCATTCTTAAAATCCGAAACCCAACAATGAATGAATACTTTTTATGTTTATCTTTGCAGAAGATATAACCTGGGCATCACTGGGTACCTAAGGATAGAAAGATAGAAAGATAGATAGATAGACAGATAGATATAGATAGATATCTAACATGTATTAATTTTAACTTAATTTTTAATCTTGAATTTTAATTTTGGAATTGTGTTTATGGCATTGAATCTGCTTCAGGATAGGGAAAGGCAGGATATAAATAGGGTAAATAAATAAATATAGCTGGAGTTAAACTTAAAAATGTACCTGTTCTGACTTACAAACAAATTCAGCTTAAGAACAAACCTGCAATATCTATCTTGTTAGTAACTTGAGGACTCCCTGTGTACTGTTTCATAAAGGAGTACACAGGTAGAGAAAAGGATAAATCAGTACTGCTTCAAAATCAGAGACTGAAGTCAGTGTAGGAAAATCCTTGTCTCAAGCCATGTTTTCAGGACTGGCAATGTTCGACGTCTTAAGAGCTGGTGAAACTATTTTTAAGCGTTCCAAGTTTCCCAACTCTTATCTTGGCTTGCTTTTGGCTTAAACTGGCAAAGTATCACAGCTCAACACTTTCCCACAAGTATCACAGCTTTATAAACAGCAGAGAAAAATCTGGGTCTGTGTCCCTCGACTATGGAAGAAAGAACCATTCAGCTTTGCCAAAGAAATGCTTTCTTTTAAAATGGCTAATTAGAAATGCATTCACAGATCAGTTGACTGTATGGGTTTGAAACAGGAATGTTTAAAGCCAAGAATGTGTATGTTTTGCCCTACGGTTTTTCACTGATGCCTCCCGGAATCTGGAATTGGTTGCATTCCAGACACCTTTCTTGGATGACATCTGCTTCTCGTGTCCATTTCTTGGAAATGCATTCTGGTCTGAGATGCATTTACCTGTTCAGTTCCTGCAGTGTGGGGTGGGAGACCAGCCTAAATAAGATGGGGTACAGGCATGCCTTTGTTAACAGTGCCTCTGACAAAGAAGCTTTTTTTTTTTTAACAAACTCTTATTTAGGATCCCAGCCCAGCCCCTTTTTTCTTATCTTCTAGAAGTATTTTTGCAACAGTGATATTGTGAAGATGGTGAAGGATGGCTGGATAAAGACAGAAGTTCTGTGTTTAATGCAACCATGTCCAGCTTGGTCTGGGAAAGAATGGGATTCTAGTCTAGGTGGTGCTACTGTAACTATATATGCTTCTCTATAATAGACAAAGTAAACATCTGTATTCGGAATCACTTACTGAGCATTTGTCAAGAGCAAAACAGAAAGAAAAGGGAAAAGTAGATTTGCCTACCTTTTCAGCTACTTTGGCATGTTTTTAAAAAATAACAGATTTGTACGTTTTGCTACCAGAATGGAAATTGGGAGGGGGGGGGGATATCCCAGGATGCATTTTGGAAAAGGCTTACAAGTGTTTTCTAGACAGTTCAAAATGTTTTGTTTACTTATGGAAGCTTTACATTACGTAGTTGTTTCATTTCAAATATATCTAATGTCAGTTGAGCGGTGAAGGGAAAAACAGTAAGTTAATACTAGACTGTAGAGCAGTGGTTCTCAACCTGTGGATCCCCAGGTGTTTTGGCCTACAACTCTCAGAAATCCCAGCCAGTTTACCAGCTGTTAGGATTTCTGGGAGTTGAAGGCCAAAACATCTGGGAACCCACAGGTTAAGAACCACTTCTCTAGAGTTTTTCCATGGGATCATCTTATACATTTAGAATCAGTTGGACTCTATTTTATGGGCTGTTTTATAGCCCCCAAGGTTTCAAGAACTTCCTTGATTTATTGGAATAACAAGGTGCCTCCTGTATATTTTTAACTTGATTGATTCAGATATCTCTGCTATACCCGCCCTTTTGAAGGCCATGAAGCATGCCAGATGGCAGACTCTTCCTTTTTATGGTTATATTTCTGTTCAAGTTCACGGAGGCTATTTCATATATAGACAGAATATGTGTGTTTCCATTTAAAGTTACTGAATTTTGTGTTTTCCATTTTAATACACTTGATTGGTTTTATTTTACTTAGGCCATTATGACAGTAGCTGAAGATTTATTGCGTTCTGCATCTCAAAACAGTCGTATTTCTATACAACGAATGCAGTCTGGGTGGCTTTTGATAGCTGCCCTCATGACACTAGGTGAGACCATCCTGTCTTTATGTATTTTTAGGTGAAATGTTAGATATTGCTGTATATTTTTGTCTTTGTTACTGTCTCAGTATTTAAGTAGGAAGTTCTGTTTTGCATTATACAAGAAGGAAATCCCATTTTTATTGTAACATTTTGTCTTATAAGTTCTCCCATCCAGCCTGAATAGAAATACAATTAAATTGGTATTTAAAATAAAATCATTATCACAAGTCTAGATGTATTGCCTTCTACAGTAAAATGATGCCCATTCAGAAATTGTGGCAGGTTTCCAAATCTGCCTTTTAAGGTATCAAATGCCTTAGATGCCTCTATTTTTTCTGGATATGGCATGGGTCTTTAAAATGTCTGCTGGGATTCTTCACTGTTATAATTGGGAAAAAGATTTGTGTAGCCCACATATACAGTATTAAGTCTGTGTACTTTCTGTAGTAACATATGAATCAGCCATTTTAACATTTTCCTTTTGGCCATCACTGACGGCTGATAATACTGTGCTTAGATCTCTGTCAGCACCCTTTAAATTCTGTTATTGAAGAAACTCAAATTTTGTATGAAAAAAAGATATAGTAATACATCATGTTACATAAATTGTTCATCTTTATTTTACATCGTAACTAGTGTAGTTATTTCAAAACTAAGAAATAGATCTGATGAGTGTATGTATGTCATATACTCATGTTTTGGTACCATGTATTTATTTTACCAAGAATACTTATATTATTATTATTACGTTATTATGTTGTTATTATTATTATTACATTATTATTATTACTATTATTAGTTTACATGACAATACACTGTTATAACCACAAATTAAAAGTGCTTGCTAGAATATGGTAAATATAATGCAAACAAGCAGCTGTAGAAGACACATATGCCACATTCTAATCCAGCGACTCATGTTGATTAAGCACTTGGGTTGTTGTAGGTTTTTTTCAGGCTACATGGCCATGTTCTAGAGGCATTCTCTCCTGACGTTTCACCTGCATCTATGGCAAGCATCCTCAGAGGTAGTGGTATATGGCCATATAGCCTGAAAAAACCTACAACAACCCAGTGATTCCGGCCATGAAAGCCTTTAACAATAGATTAAGCACTTACTTCTGAATAAATGAAGATCTCTGCTAAACCAGACGATTGAGTCCAGTATTCTGCTTTTCATAGTTCTCAGTGATAGGAAGTTACGGAACACAATCCAGTACTCTTGGAAAAGAAGATTACAAATTTGGGGACATTCTGTCCTCATATTTTAAGAAGATTTTTTTCTTAAGATTTCTAGATTTTTCTTGGATTTCTGTGGCTTCATAATCATCATCATCATCACCACCATCTTTATTTATAAGAAATAAAAAGGAAATAAAGACATTGCCGATAATGTCATTGCTGATCATGTTTGTTAATTTTAAAGGAGTTTGGTGCCACAATTCGTATTCATGCACATCAGGATATTTGTGCTGCAAATCTAATAAATGTCTTTGTATATAATTTACACCTGATTTCAAAATACTGTCTTTGATAGAATTTATATAAGAAAATGTCCATATCTTATAAATGATAGGTCCTGCAGTTGTCCAGCACCATCTTCCAAGGATGCTACTGTTGTGGAAATGTGCCTTCCCATTATCATCTAAAGATTTAGAAACTGAGAAGAGCCGAGGTGATTCATTTACTTGGCAAGTAACACTGGAAAGCCGTGCAGGTGCTCTTTGTGGTAGGTGGCATTTTTCATAGATATTTCATATTTAAGTTTGAATTTTCAAAAAAGCTTTCAACAATATTTGTGTCATACTTTCAATAGTACCTGTGTACATCTTCACAATAGGTAATACACAGTTGTACTATCTCAGCCACCCATATGGGTAGTTTCAGATTTTGGAGTATTTTGGATTTCAGATAAGGGATGCTCAGCCTGTATTACCAAGAATTGTCTTTCCTTTTTAATAATTTTATTTCTATCCATGACAGAAGTTTTGATAACATTTGTTAATCTTTTCTTTTATGGGTCATATAAGTGGCAAATGATAGATTTGTGTGAAGCCCATTGACTACAAATCAGGATAGAATATGATAGGTATAAGTGTATAGCTGTTATAAAAAGAAAAGTTCAGTTTGTTATAGTCACTTTACTTTGTTTTCAGCTGTCAAAAGCTTTATTCTTCATTGTGGAGGACTCCTTACAGATGAAGTTATTCAAAGATTGCTTCCTCCAATCCCATGTGCAATTGATTTACTGACACTGTGAGTATTAAAAGTGTATGTGGTTAACTGAAGTGAAATTCTATTAATCTTGGAATTTTTATATAAAAATTAAATTTCAAGCTGTGATTTCATAGTAAATTAAAACATGGAATATTTTTCTGTCCTGAAAGTCAGATCTCTATCAGACCTGTATTTTTGGCAGCTCAAGGAGATGTGTACGCATATTCCAAAATAAATGACTGTCCTGAAGGCAGCTATGCTGATTCAAGTTGATGCAGAAACTATGTAACTTGGTAATTTTGTTTCTGAAATGACTTTCATAGGAGAGAAAACATTCTTTACTCATTTGTAAGGATTTAACTTTGTCAGTATTATTTTTGTTTTTGTTATTGTTTTTAGTCTTTGTAAACCGCCTTGGGTTTCATGCTGGGGAAACTACAGCCAAAAAAAAAAAATCAAATAAAAATTATACCTGTGTTTACTCGATTGTAATGGACCATCGATTGTCATGTGCACCTCAATTTTGAAGGTGTGCATTACAGAAAAGAAGTTGTTGTTGAATGTAATGTGTGACTTAGTAAGTTTGCCTGTTAAGCAAGTCAGAACAGCTAGCAAGCAAGGTAAGCAGCACATATCCAGGAAGCCAAGGCTGACAAACTTACCATCCTTAGCCTGATGGATGGGCAGCAGCGGTGGCTTCTCAACTAAGGCCTCATTCAGGAGGCCTTCAAAATGGTGGGAAAGTTTTGAAGGCTGTATGAATAAGGCCAGCTGGGAAACTTCAGCCCTCTGTCAGACAGAGGCTGGTGAGTTTGCTGACCTGAATGAGAGGTGCAGACAGGTTTACATGCACAGTTCTAATGTACCATCAATTGTAATATGCAGCTCAATTTTTGGCAAAAAAAAAAGTGCGTTACACTCGAGTAAATACAGTATATACACATGTTATTGTTTAGGATAATACTTCTCAAACTCCCTGATGTGGGAAAATGGCACGTTTTTAATACCCAGTGTGCTGCTGCTGATATTACTACTACTGCTACTACTACTAATGATAATAATTTTGTTTCTTACCTGTCTCTCTTTGTGGCTAGAAGTGGGTTACAACAAAGATAAAAACACACAATTAATATAAAATACACACATTAAAATGTATTTCTATAAAATACATATATTAAAATTCACAGAACAAAGATTAAACTTTAGTGAACACAAGACATGAGTTTAAAATTCATGATTAATAGTAGGTGGGCCTGCTGGAAGAGATATGTTTTAAATTCTGACAACCCATTTAGCTGTTGGATCTTTTCTGGCAGGTTGTTGCACAGTCTTGAGGCAGCCGATGAAAAGGTCCTCTGAGTGAAGGTTGTCAGTCAGGTTCTAGCAGGCTGAAGTAGCTGCCCCCCCCCCCCCCGAGGATCTAAATGTTCAGGGAGGATTGTACAGGAGAGGGTGACCCTGTAGATAACCTGAATCCAAACCATGTATGACTTGTGTAACTATGTGGGGTTTTTTATGGAAACTTACTAGTGAATAGTTTGCAGATCAACATTTGTCTGCAGACCAGCCCTTTGGATAGCTCTGGTTTAGGACAATATTTCATAATGTTACAGTGTATCCTCACATACTAAGAAGAATAGTGCATTGTTCCTCATACACATCCATGCCTTCCTCTAGGCCAGGGGTAGAGAACCTTTTCTGCCAAGGACCATTTGGATATGTATAACAACATCATTTGCAGAGCATTAGCAGCTTTGTGGGATCCATGATTGTGGTTAAGGCAGCACCAGCTCCGGCCTTGGCATGGAAAAACCGGAGTCAGGGAGGAAGGAGGGGATGGACTTGGAGGGGCGATGGAAGGCAAGGCACAGAAACCCCTTGGAGGCAGGCAAGTCATCTGCTTCAGAGGGCTGATAACAGCTTGCACCACACAGAGAAGGAGAGAGCAAGCAAGAGGAGGGGGTAGAGCAAGAAGGAGGCACAGCTGCTAATGCCACGGATCCAGACCAAATTACTTTGCAGGTCTTATACAGCCTGCGGGCTAGATGTTCCCACCCCTGATCTAGGCAATTAGAAACTAAATTCAAGCTGAGCATTTCATTTCCCCTTCTGCCTTTTATTATTTTATTTTTTTCATCTAGGGCTCAGCATTCTAGGTCTATCTTTTTCCAGTGTACTGTAGGGTTTATAGGGGTTATAGTGGGGGAAATGCCCCCTTGGCTGTGCCAATACCTTCCTTTCAGTTTGAGCTCTCCTTTTGTTAGTACTAATCAAATAACCACTTGGTTTCAGTTTTAGGGGGAAAAGCCCCCGGTGGAGCTGGCATGACTGAAGACCGACAGGTCACAGGTTCAAATCTGGGGAGAGTATGGATGAGCTCCCTCTGTCAGCTCCGGCTTCCCATGTGGGGACATGAGAGAAGCCGCCCACAAGTGTGGTAAAACATAAAAAAACTTCCTGACATCCCCTGGGCAACGTCCTTGCAAACAGCCAATTATCTCACACCAGAAGCGACTTGCAGTTTCTCAAGTTGCTCCTGACATGAAAAAAAAGTCTTAGAGGAAATTATATTTTGAAAATAAATATAGATATTGATGGCTATGTAGTAAATTGCATTTGTTGAGGCTTTTCAGATAGTAAATTTCAGATAAGGCCTAAAACAAACTATGGTTGAATTTTATTGGGTAGAGGTTTTTTTTTTTTGTCCAACTTAAGGATTGTTTTTTTGCTTTAAAGGCTTCCTTCTCTAAATAAAACCTATGGAAATCCTTTAAAACCATCATCAGTGAATTATAGGAAAAGACTTTATGAATTGCTTACTTTGTTGCCTCCCAAGACATATGAAGGTATGTATTTTCTTGTGAAATAGTTTGCAAGATATTTTCCCCAAAAAAATCTCTTTTCTCTCTTCCATTCTATTGGCAAATGTTTAGTGGGTTTTGTTTTGATATCTGAGAATCTTTAATTACGGAACTGTTCAAAATAACTACATGAACCTAAATCTAATTGCATAGAACCATTGCATTGTATGTTTAGTATTTGCATAAAATCTCTGAGAGATGTCATCCTGCTTTTTGGGTTTTAGTGTCATTGGTATACAGATGACACACAACTCTGTTTCTCCGTTCTTGCAGATTCAAAGGAAGTTGTTTCTGTGATAAACTAGTCTCTACTGTCAGGAATGGACTAGATGTGTGTGAACAAATTCCAACTTATTCTCAGATTGACAGCTTGGCATATATCTGGACTATGATTTGAGTTTGAATGTCCAGGTTGTGATTGTGACCTGCAGTGTATTTGCATCATTAAAACTAGTGCACCAGCTGCACCTGTTCTGTGTAAAGTCATATCTGGCTATAGTGATACATATCTCTAAACTGTGGGGTTTAAAAAGCATATTTTGGGAGTCAGAATGTTTAATATGAGTGTTTTGTTGGAATGTAACATTCTTCATTTATTAAAATTGTTTCAGTTCATAATCTTTCCAACAAGCATATATATCAGAAATCACATTTTTTTTATCCTCAGATGTCTTCTTAATAATGTTTTAGATACAACCTTTATTTAAAAATAGCTTTCTTCTACCCCCATCATTTACAGGAATTTTTTCTGCAGTTCTCAAAGAACTTGTGCTTGATTTGACCCAGTCTGATAACCAGATGGCAGCCTCTGCTGCTTATCTTCCACCTCTCTCTCATCAGAATGAATTTGCCTTACTTGGTCCTACATTACAGGAGACAGAGCACAGATTTATTGAAGAGCAGGTATTTTCTTATACTGTAGCAGTTATTTTTACTATCAGAGAAGAACAACTATTCTTCTGTGGTGACAATTGCGTTTTTTTCCTGTCTTTCCAGCTGCTCTTAGTCCATAGTATAGCTGGTGGAAGCCTAGAATATGATCCATATTCAGTTTACGAAAGAGCTGCAGATAGTGACTCAGTGCCTAAGCCCTTACCTACAACTATATCCATTATCAATGCAGCAACCCGTCTCTTTGGAGTAATATTTTCCCATGTTGCAGAGCCCCAAAGGTAAAATAATAATATTAGTAATAATAATAATTCTCTACAGTTATTTTATTTTAATTTCCAGTGACAAGTTAGCTGATGTTGTGAAATTAGCTACTAAGAATCACCTCTTCACATTCTTTATCATGTGTCTAGTTGCTGAAGCCTATTAAAGTTGTCTACTCTGGTGTAAGAAATGCTGTTGAAAGTGACAGGAGTAATAGTTGCAATTTTTGTTAATATTTTATGTATGTACATTATCATTGTTCTTATCATCCAATGAGTATGAATAATATGCTGCCAAAATAGGAGAAAGTATGAAGAAAATATGAAAAATCTAAAATATCCCAAATGATTTTTCAACTGGAGAAGAAACTGAACATAAGCAAATATTAGGAGCAAATTTCACATCTGAGAATCTGCCTCATTAAGAAAATAGTTTTATCCTGAACCTTCTAATATCTGATGACTTTTACAGAATAAGAGACAGAATATTTTATCTTGTTTCCTTTCCCAATTTTTTTTTGGTGTGTGTTTAAGGCTTCAGATATTGGAACAGATATTGACCTCCATAAAACAAACCAAAGGATCCCGGCAACAGATAGTGCAACAAAACGTTATGTCAGCATTTTCTAATGTTCTGAAGGTAAGAATTTCTTAGAGAAATTATCTCTTTTTTAGGGAAACTGCATCTTTCCCCAACCTTTCAGCAAGCGAGCTTCAGATGTCATAATTATGAAATGTACCATAGTTTTTTTTTTAAAAAAATTAAGAACTTCTCTGAAATGTGTTGTGCAATCATTAACAATTAATGTAGATGACAACAAAAGAAAAATTAGTGACAATTTCAAAATTATCATTTTTTGTTATAGCACTTAGCCAGTTGCAAGGGGAATTTAGGTTCTGACGAAATCCGAAGTTCTGCCTTATCCTTAGTGATGAGTGCCTTAGAAAGTAGTAATCCACTTCTGAGATGTTCTGCTGCCGAATCTCTAGCCCGACTTGCCCAGGTCGTTGCTGACAGCACCTTCACTGCTGGATTGGCACAAATTAGCTTTGACAAGTAAGTTACTTCCTATCATTTAGTTTTTGTTATATTATTTGTTCCTGCTTCTGTATTTCCTTTTCTCCTCAGTAGATTGCGCCTATTTAGGTAGGGTTCCAATATCCATAGAATCTTTCTGCAACAAACTGCAGTCCTTTATACACAATGGGTTGCTGTGAGTTTTCCGCGCTGTATGGCCATGTTACAGAAGCATTCTCTCCTGGCATTTCACCCACATCTATGGCAGTCATCCTTAGAGATTGTGAGGTATATTGGAAACTAAGCAAGTTTATATATCTGTGGAAGGTCCAGGGTGGGAGAAAGGACTCTTGTCTGTTGGAAGCAAGTGTGAATGTTGCAATTAATCACCTTAATTAGCATTGCAAAGCCTTGGTGATTAATTGCAACATTCACACTTGTCTCCAACAGACAAGAGTTCTTTCTCCCACCCTGGACCTTCATTACTTAGTTTCCAATATAACTCACAACCTCTGAGGATGCCTGCCATAATTTGGGTGAAATGTCAGGAACATGGCCATACAGCCTGGAAAACTCACAGCAACCCAGTTATTCTGGCCACAAAAGCCTTCAACAATACATACAGAATATATACATATACAAAATGTATATTTTTCTCCTTTCTCTTATAGTCAAATATTAGGGAAATTGAATCAGCCAGGTAAAATATGGGGAACCTCTGATTTTGGGGCTGAATGTTATCTTACTGGGATCCATAGCTAATCCTTCGGGGTTTCCCATTCAGTTGTGATCCCCTCTTCATTAAACAGTCATAAGGAGGTTTCCCAGCTTTTCTGTGGGCATAACAAAAACAGCCATGATTCTTGTCTGTTATCAAATTTATTTGGTGAGTGATGTTTGGTAAATGCAAAAAACACAGGCATCTTATTTCTACAGCCATTCCTTATTCAGAATGGTGCTAAAATGCTGTATGACTGCTGCAGGCTGCTTCTTAAAGTTCCCAGAGTTGGAGACTGCCTCTTTGGTTTTCCATAGTTGTCTTGTCATGCTTGGAATATGTTTCCTTACAAATTTTAGGCTAAAATCTGCTAGAGATGTTATATCAAGGACAGGACATTCTTTGGCCCTTGGATCACTCTATAAATATCTGGGAGGAATCAGCTCTTCTCAGCACTTGAATGCATGTGTCGGAATACTTTATACATTATCTCAGGATAGCACTTCACCTGAAGTACAGGTATGTATTAGTTTTTTTTTATTCAGTGAGTGGCTTGGAAGGAATTTTGGTTAAAAAAGGAACCTATAAATATATAGCAATTGCTAGTCCCAATTTTGAGTATAACCATTGAATCAGTACAACCATTTTGAGTATAACCATTGAATCAGTGTGCCTTCCCTGAATAAAGGAAACAGTGCCCTGCTCTGACCAATTCCCTGCAAAATGTCCTCAGAAGCACTTTAACTACCCGTTGTGTTGCTCTCCGTACACTATCCTTTAAAACCCTCCTGCTTAGATACATCCTACCTCTGTTCACGCCCAGTGTTTATTTTAAAATTTTAATCTATTACATCTGGCCTGGCCATAGGTTTTAAATTTTTTTGTGTTATTGTCTATATGTGAGTTATATTAATTGTATTGTTTTATTTGCTTACTGCTTTGTTGTTTTATTGATGTGTTGTTGGGCTAAGCCTCCTGTAAGCCGCCCTGAGTCCGCTTGGGGAGATGGTGGCGGGGTATAAATAAAGTATTATTATTATTATTATTATTATTATTATTATTATTATTTACCATTCAGTGGGATCAACTCTCATTGGGATTAGCAGTTGGACTTAGGCCAATGAAATGAACAAATACATTTTATTTTCTAATCTCTGTATTTATAGATGCTTTACAGAATAACAATACACTTCAAAACAGCCCATAAGCTCTTGCTGATATTTAGATTGCATTAAATTTGTGCCAGTCATGAATTATGCATACATCTGAGAGAAAATTACATTATATCATGTTCAGTAGCAAGCCAAAGTGGTCATTTCCCCTTGCATTTCTCTCAGTTATTGGACCCTCTTGTTACCTCTTCTCAAATAAGAAGAGGTGGAAAATTGTTTGTTTTTGAATTCTTCTGACCTCATTTTTCAAACATGGACAGATTAGCTTATCTTCTTACCATAGAAAGAGACAAGAAAGTCTGAGTAACCTGCTTACGTAATAGTTTTTACTGCCTTTTGAGGGGAAACCCCATATTTTATATGATGTTTGTGTCCATTTATGTCTTGTGTGTTATTGCTTTGTCTGTTTTTCAGTTCTGCCAGGAAGAATAGCAATGTTGCTTCAAAGCATTCATCTTAAAATTACACAATTTATGATCATTTTATTGTTTCAATTCATCTTCTCACTAAAGTGCACCCATGTTACATATAAATTTTATTTCTGGTCACATCTTGTAAATTATTTCATGTTTGTGTGTGTGTGACACAACACTACATTTTTGGTATTTTACAGACCTGGGCACTGCATTCTCTGTCACTGATCATTGATTCTGCCGGTCCCCTATATCACGTGCATGTGGAACCTACCCTCTCTCTTATTCTTATGTTGTTGTTGACTGTGCCTCCTGCTTATGCTGAAGTCCATCAAAGCCTTGGTCGCTGCTTAAATGCACTTATCGCCACTTTGGGTCCTGAGTTGCAAGGTAATTCATACATTTGCAACATGGTGATGTTATGAATAACTTTTCAATAACTTTAAAGCATAGGTTCTTTTTATTAAAAATTTCAGTAAGAGAAAGGGTATCAGAATTTTCATAGAACAATGTTTAGACATAACAGACATGCAGATTCTATGTAACTACATTGGATTCACAAACAACCTACAGTTACATTGGCAAAAAAACAAGGATTCAGCATTCACACATATATACATTCATTCATCCTCATGCACACATCACCATTTCACCATTCTTCCTCTGTGAAGAACATCTCTTAGGTCAGACAGCTTCCTTGCAAATCTGCAGATGCATAGTTCCTAAACTCCAAAATGCTTCTAAACTGCCAAAACGTCAAAATGCATCGTCTTTCCCTGAGAACATGACTCCAAAATGCACTTCTTTCTCTTTCCTTGAGAAAAGGAGGCAAAGTGTACAGACTGTGTTCTATTGCCACTCCCAAATACATACACTATCTCTTTCGAGCATGGCAGGTGGCTACAATTTTTGGATTATAATAAGGTCTGCTATATAGCAATATTTTGCTAATATTTTCCCAAAGTTGTAAATGAATGATAGACATTTTCCATCCTGAAACATCCTGGCTTCATCTCGGTCTCCTGCCAGATGTTAACTCTTCGTAATTGGTGTTGGTGAATGCAAGCAGCCTTGTGTTGACTTCCTTATTAACATAAGGAATCTTGCAAACATTTCCTTAACTTAAAAGAGCCATTCTCTCTGATTATTTATTTATTTACTTTGCTTGTATACCGCTCTTCTCAGCCCTTAGGCGACTCAGAGCGGTTAACAACAATTAATGCAAACACATTGTTTTCCCCCAATAGTTTAATAGTTAATCTTTTGTCATAGTTCTTATCAATGTCAGCAGTTCAGCAGCTTTTAATTATAGTTCTTGAGTATAGTTAATGATTTTGTCATTGTAGGCCTTAATCTTCTAGAATGGTGTCTTCAGCCAAATTAGGCCCCATCCGTACAGCTTTCATACAATTCATTCAAATAATATATCATATGTCATCATGAAATTGAGAGACAAGTGTATATGGAGTGTTGTAAGACTTAATGGAGAACTATTGAAGTTGTTCCATTTGTTCCATTTCTTATCTAGATTCTGATCCAGATGATGATCAGTCGTTAACATTTGTTGTTGTTTATTCATTCAGTCACTTCCGACTCTTCGTGACTTCATAGACCAGCCCATACCAGAGCTCCCTGTTGGCTGTCGCCACCCCCAGCTCCTTCAAAGTCAAGCCAGTCCCTTCAAATCACATCAACATTATTTACACACTTCCTTTTCTTAAAACTGGGGTTCTTACATTTACAACCTTCCAATTAAATTTAATAGGATCCCTTTTCTTAGTACTCAAATAAATCATTGTCTTTTTTTCTCCATGGCAATAGAACTGTCTAGTAGCCTACATCTCTAAGCAGTTTATTTTCCAGGTAGATTCCCAACCACATAGATACATTCTACCTGAAGTAATCCTTCTCTAAGCTCAAGGCAAGGATGTGCCATTGAAATCCAGCCTTCATCTCTATATGCGCATTGTATGCCCAAGTACATTCTAACTATTGGAGGAATTGAATATATTGGCAGCAGTGAAGTGGGAATGTAAGCTGATTCATGAGGAAGTGAACACAGAAGCTCTTCAACTAATTGTAGGAAACTGCTCCACATAATTGAAAAATGCTATAGTTTTTATGTGAATACTGTACTATTGAAATAAAAATTCTTGTAAAGCGTAACTATCACTGAATGTGTTAATAAACATATTCTTTATTGTTTTTGTGGTATTTGATGATGTCAAATGTTGGTAGAGTAATAAAGAAAATGACAAAGGCAAAAAAAAAATTCTCCCTCTCTTTTTGTTGTATGTATAGGCAGCAGCACTACAGTTTCAGCCTTACGGGCTTCTTGTCTCCTGAGCTGTACAGTGATGCAAGATAATCCTGACTGCCTTGTCCAAGCTCAAGCTATCTCTTGCCTTCAGCAGCTTCATATGTTTGCTCCACGCCATGTAAACCTGTCTAGCCTTGTAAGATGCCTGTGTGTAAGTATATGTGTGTTATTGTCTGTGTGTGTGTGTGTGTGTGTGTGTGTGTGCACGTGCACACACATACACATTTAAACTAGAACAGTTGGAATGTTTTTGAAGGAATTCTTTAAAGAGAACAGATTTTAATATATTCTGAGCAGGAGAAGCAATAGCTTTGCAATGTTTCAGAAGTATTTATGAGTGCTCTAGTTTATTTGGAGATAAACAGATTCATTGTGGCATAATCTTTTATGTGTTAGAATTAACTTAGATGCACGAAATGAAAAATGTATTAATGTATATAATAGGATTCATCCCTTGTTCAGTAGACTAGAATGATCCTTCAGCTTGGATGAGATGGTTGAGAGAGAGCTCACAAATTGCCCTAGGTGAGAAGGAAAGCTCCTTACAATACCACAGGGCAAAGTGATCTCTTTTGTTGTCCCACTCCCTTTCCCTGACTGTCTTGGAAAATCAGGATCTTTACAGCCGGTTGACTGTCTATATATAGAGTGAAGATACTCTACAGACAGTGATGAAAGAGTAAACTGGTAACCAGACAGAAGCTATTAGTGTTCCCCGATTGTCTGCTGTTATGTTGTTGTTAACTGCCATCAAGTAAATATCGACTTTACAGCAACCCTATGAATGAGAGCCACCCTATCATCAACAAGCCTGCTCATATCTTGAACAGTGTGACTTCCTTGATTGAGTCTGTCCATCTCTAACAAGGTCTTCCTTTGTTCCAACTGCCTTCTGTTTTACAAAACACTTTTGTGTTTTTTAGTTGAGCAATTTCTTCTCATTATATGTCCAAAGTATGACAGCCTCAGGCCCTTTCTACACTGCCATATAATCCAGATGATCAAAGCAGATGATCCACATTATCTGCTTTGAACTGGATTATATGAGTCTACACTTCCATATAATCCAGTTCAAAGCAAATCTTGGTTTTATGTGGCAGTGTAGAAGGGGCCTCAGTTTAGCCATCTTGTCTTTCAGGGAGAGTTCAGGCTTAATTTGCTCCAGAAGCCATTCATTTCTCCTTTTACAGTCCACAGTATCTGTAGAACTCCAGCACTGAATTTATTTTCTTCCTATCATTTTTTTCCCACCATCCACCATAGAAATGGGCGATATGATCTTCCATATAATGGTATGGAAGATCTTCTCATTAGCATTCAATGATATATCTTAGAATTTCAGGATTTTGTCTGGTTCCTTTCATAGCTGCCCTTTCAAGGCCAAGTCTGTATTTGGATTAATTAGTATTAGGGAAAGTAAATTACTTCAGTGTCTTCGTTGTCTATTTTAAACTCATGTAAATCATCTATGATCATTTTTTGATTTTCTTATTGCTCAGTTTAACTCTTCAATAACTGTTCCAAGTCTTTTTCTTTGATGGTTTCTAATTATTATTGCCATGATTCAGAATCAGCCACAATGCACTGAACACTAGCGTTTTTGGTTTCTAGACCTATAACATATTATCATAGATTAGGATTTTTGTAAGTTGAGGGTCATTTTACAGTGCTGCCTTGGGATGCCACCCCTGATTACTTTTGCAACCATTTTCCTGCCCAGGCATTCAAAAAGCCCATAAGTAGCATTGTAGCAGAGAGAGTAGGGCATGTTCGTACTTCTTTTAGGTTATCCCAGGACAGACTAAGCTCCTGTCTTTCAACACTCCTCTCAGAGGTGTTTCCTTTTTTGATAAGAGTTATTATATGGTACTTACACTGACCCGTAGATAAGTCAACGCAGTTTTTCTAGGTCAATTTTTAATTAAAATGTCTAGACTTATACGCAAGTATATATAGTACTTTGTATTCTTGAGGGCAAGCTCACTGTAAGGTCTGATGCTCAGGGCTTTTGTCATGACTGGATTATCATTTGTTTTTGTGCAGGAGATCTTGTTGGAAAATTCTGTGTTGGTAGGTCTCTGTGCATTGTTCAAATTTCAACAATTTTTGGTGTGTGTGTGTGTGTGTTTTGTTTTAATTTTCCTTTTAAATGTGTTTAACCATTAATGTCCAATGAATACTTTCAGCATGGTGAGCGATGTTTTATTTCAGCCTAACAAAATTATCATTTAACATTCTTATAGCTGCATTCAGATCTTGTGTGCAGATTTAATTTTTGCATTGATTTAACTTAAATCATTTAAAAACAAAAAGGAGGCTACTTTTTAAAATTGTCTGCAGTTCATGTGTATTGCTTGTGTTTTCTGTGTGTTTTTCCTGTCCTTTTAAAACATGAGAGAATGAAAGATATCAGAAATGTGCATTTTGCTTTGTCTTGCAGTTAAGCTTGTGTGTTCTGGCTTTCTCATACAAAAACTTAAAACTGGCATTTAAAAAAGCATGCTTAAAACTCAAGATAGTGTTGAATCTGCTTGTGTAAATGGTGCATAAAATATTTAATGGGTACTTTAATTTTTAATTTATAGCATCTCTTTAATATGTTCAGGGATCATTGTTTGTATGCATTCTATAAGTAAGCATGCATGTGGCAACATATGATACTATTAGATGTAGAATTGAGTCTTTTTAACTGTGATTCCATAGTACTTCGTTGTGTCCATTCTGTTCTCTTTTGTCACTCTTTCCTTTAATTATTTCTTGTTGACAAATGAGGTACATTACTTACGAACATGGCAGCTTTGCACCGAGAACTCAACTCTCCCCCATTCTTCAGATTTCTAATTAAAATTAAGTACAAGGGGGAAAAACCAATTTATTTATTTTATTTTAAACAGTGAAGCACTGAATAGTTTTAGGAAATATAACATATAATTTTAGTGGGGATTTTTTCTTCTGTTACAATGTCCAGAATCTGGAATTGAGCTTGGACATTGGATGTTTTGTCAATGACTATCTTTAATACAATGTTTTAATATGCATCTTTTATAGAAATAGATTTTAATATGTATATTTTTAGAGTTTTTACAGTATCTGTGTTTTAATGCTGTAACCTGCCTTAAGCCATGAGGAGAGGCGGGTAAGAAATAAAATAATAATAATAATAATAATAATAATAATAATAATAATAATTGTTATTATGAGGGAAAATACTTGATAGTTTTAGTGCATTTTAATATAACATGTTATTTATGTTGCTTTTCATTTGTAAATCATGATAACAAAATTCTCAAAATTTTGTTGAAATGGCAATATGATAGAAACCAGTGCATGAGCCCAGGGAACTTTTTGCTGTAGTGATGCTTGTTAGGTACTGTTCTGTAGCATACAAATTCTTAGTACCATATATACTTGAGTATGAGCTGAGTTTTTCAGCCCTTTTTTTAGGATTGAAAAAGCCCCCCTTGACTTATACTTGATGGAGGATCCTGGTCAGCTTGTATTCAGGTTGGCTTATATTCGGGTCGGCTTATACTTAGGTAATCAGAGTTGAACAGCCTTATCTTAAAAAACCATTTTAATATTTAAAATATTAAATACTCAAAAACATTTAACCTACTGATGACACAATTAATGTAATTTTATTGGTATCTATTTTTATTTTTGAAATTTACTAGTAGCTGCCGCATTTCCCGCCCTCATCTAATACTTGAGTCAATAATTTTTCCCAGTTTTTTGTGGTAAAATTAGGTGCTTCAGCTTATATTAGGGTCGACTTATATTTGGGTATACACGGTACATTGGTTTAGTGTACCATGAAGTCCTGCATCTCCATCTCAGGATGGAAAAGATCTCTGTCTGAAATACAAAAAGACATTACCAGCCAAATAGACAATAATGAATTAGATGAACTAATGCTGAGCTACTGAACTTGCTGACCGAAAGCTTGGTGGTTTGAATCCGGGGAGCGGGGAGTTGTCCCCCAGAGTTGGAAAAACTAGACTTAATATCACGGGAAACCTTTACCTTTACCTTTAATGCTTTAATTCAGTACCTAGCAGCTTCCTATGTAGAGTTTTCTTTCCTACACATATCTATATTCTGATCTTCTTAATAATCTACTGTATTTATGGTTTTTATATGTTTGCACTTACCACTCAGTGCAATAGAGACATAGGTGACTCCCAGACATTGCTACCTCACCCAGTTCCTCCAGTAGGGAGCCTCTGCTGGATCCCAGTTTCCTCTGACAACAAGAACTCTTCAAGGAGTCTTGATTTAAGCAATAGTTCACTGTGTTACAAACAGTTAAATTAGTAAACATCGTTGAAATCTTTGTCTATATATATTGACCTACATCATTTATTTCCTCACTTTCCTCCTTATGTTCTCAAGTTAGATTATAATGGAAAAAATAAAGATGAAATGGTGGCTGGGATTTGATTATAGGCAGTGGCAGCAGGAAGGAAAAGGGTGGTAGGCACAGTGGCAGTGAAAAAAATAGGCTTCCAGATTCTGTATATCTTTTTTCTTTGCCACAAGTATGTAATCTTGGAAAAGTGCAGTTATTAACTTAATGGACTAACAGGATTATTACCAACAGATACTCATCTGGCCACCAGGCAGGATTTTGGCCAATCAAAGGCAAAATAATGGAAATTGTCTCTTGAACCATCTTTAACCATTTCGTTCTTGTGCAATATATATTACATTTTTAGAAAATGTATCCTTTTCTTACTCTCCCCCTCTATATCTGACTTTTAGTTTTGTCTCAGGAATAGGATTGCTTGAGGAGCTTCAAGCTTCTACCTTTTAGTTACCATCTTACAAAATGTGCCTTTCAGTTTGAGTCTTTTGTTCACATTATAGGTGAATCTCTCTAGTTCATATTTATTACTAAGGCGAGCAGTACTAGCTTGTTTGCATCAGCTTGTGCAGAGGGAGGCAGCTGAAGTTTCTGAACATGCAGTGGCTCTTGCTAAAGACAGCAGAGAAGATTTTGCTCCAGGTAATTTATTTATTGTTTATTTATTTACTGCATTTATATCCCACCCTTCTCACCCCAACAGGGGGACTCAGAGTGGCCTCCCAGAAAGGTAGCAATTCAATTCCGTACACATACATAAATACAGTAAAAATGAACATATGCATTAAAACCGAAAAATCAACAGCAATATTAAAACAATTATTAAAATCACGTTATCCAGAGTCAAATCCAAGGTCATTCCATTAGTCATTTCACAATTCTGTATACTCATGTTGCATTAGCTTGTTAGACAAAAGCTTGGTTCCATAACCGGGTTTTAACTTTCTTCCTGAAGGTCAGGAGGGAGGGGGCTGATCTAATTTAGTTGGGGAGGGAGTTCCATAGTCAAGGGGACACCACTAAGAAGGCCTGTCTCATGTCCCTGCCAAACGCGCCTGCAAAGAAGGCGAGACCAAGAGCAGGGCCTCCCCAGAAGATCTTAATCTCTGTGGTGGATTATAGAGGGAAATACATTTGGACAGGTATGCTGGGTCAGAACCGTTGAGGGCTTTATAGGTCTTTATATTAAGCCTTTACAAATGCAAAACTTTACTAATTTAAAATACCTGTCATATTTTAAGGCTATTTGTAGATTTTATCTTGCCAGACAGAACCCAGTATTTCCCAATATACAATATTCTAGGATCCTTATTTCACAGTGGATACTTGGAATCAATCCTAGGATACTTTTGTACGTCTTGGAATCTGCTATAGTAATGTTTGGGGCCTAGGCTGAACAAACAGCTTATTACATGTGAAACTGTTCTAAGTGTACAGAATTTCAAGATGCTCCTGGTAGAGGGCTCTTAGCACTACCAGGGAAAAGGCATTGTACATCTGTTACACTTTTCTTCCTTGACAGGTTTCATTTTGGGGAAAATAAAAAATATAGGGGAAGTTGTGCAAAAACCGAATGTCAGAGTAGTACATCATCTGGACCCCCTGTAAATTCCATAAACATGGCATCCTGATTGTTTGCCTTGAGCTGCATGTTAAAAATGGGTTATTTTTACAACAATCCCTGTAATACCCTATACAGCATGACCAGTGTAAAAATGTGCTTATTGTATAAATTAGCATGGCAAGAAGAAGCATATCAATTTTTCCTGTAACATCTAGTGGCTTTTTTATATACTATATAAATTCAGTCTTCCTCCTCATTTGCTTGTTTTTGACGATGGAGGAGTTAGAATCTTTCAGCTCGTTTGTTTTCTGTCTGTGTACATATATTAATAATTGATGCATCTATTTTGGGATACAGGAGTATATTTTTGGCTTTAAATTGTAACCTGAGAGTTGGCTGACCTGATGTTGAAACAGCATCTCTGTTTGTAGCTCATTTTGTTCTGGAGAAATGAATGTTGGAAATTATTGACCCCAAGAATGATTTAGTAACACTAAAAATGATGTGAGGATGGAAAAGGAGAAAGTTAATGCAAAGTAGGGAAGGCGTGCCGACACCTTTATAACAGCCCGTTTTGGAGCATACTACATGCACACAAATTCTGCTAATTTGTGTTCTAATGTTTGAATTAGCACTCTGAACTATTTGCTTGATGCAAGTACTTGTGATGTTCCTTTAATTTTCCTTCTTTTCATAAACCTGAGAAACAATTTGATTAAGGTGGTTGACAGAGCTGGAAATATCAAGGAAACAGGCTACCACAGAGGCCTGAAAGTTATTGATTGTGATTTAATATTTTTTATTTATCAGTCAAAAAAATAACCTCACATCATATGCATGTGCCATTTTTATAGGTATTAACATCAGAGAAGTAGGACTTGAAGGGGCATTGTTAAGCCTGTTGGACAAAGAACTGGATCCAAAACTGTGCCAAGACATCCGAGAGACCCTGACCCATATGCTTATATCAATGGCTGTTGAAAAACTCTCTTTCTGGTTGAAGCTCTGCAAAGATGTTTTAGCTGCCTCTGCTGGTATGTGCTAATCTATTCTTTCCTGGAAATAAAACCTGATAGAAATCAAGGAAAAGAATCATCTGACCAAGCTATCAAGTGGTTTCTTAACCTGGTTGGCAAATAATAAATAATTTTAGAGTTGAGAGATCAACTCTCAATAGAAAGCAGCCATGCACAAATTTGAGACCAAGCTGAAGGAATTCCTGCCTCTATATCAGCTTAGCTGTCTGATGCAAATGAATTGCATGATTCCTTACTATGGGATTCCCTTTTTAGGAAGCCTCTTTTAGATGACCGATTGCATTATTTTCAAACAGGAGAATACTTTATTTTAACTGTTCACTGAAGTGTTGCAATACATATTTAAAATGTAAATACAAGTCTGTTTCTCCCTCTTCTAACTCCCCATTCTTCCTTTTCCATTTTCTTTGCACATTTTTCCTCTACTTCCCTATTATTTGCTTCCCCACTTATGTTTTGTTATTTGCATAGTCTTTGATGCATAAGACTTCAGTACTCCTGACTCCAATCTGTTCACCATATTAACAACAATAACAACAATAACAACAACAATAATAATAATTTTCTTACTCGCCTCTCCTCACTGCTCAAGGCAGGACACAGCAGTCAAAACACACATATTAAAACGTAGTTTTATAAAAGATACATATTAAAATGTTTTTCTATAAAATACATATTAAATTCACATGACAGAGTGTCCCTGTCTATTTTGTATTAATTCAGATTTCACAACCGTGGCTTCAGTAGATACAACACAAGAAGAAGAAGTTGCTCAAACAGATGACGAATTGGCATTGGCATTGGAAAATGATGAAAAATTGCACCCTTTCCTGCATCCTCGATGGTCTACTAGAGTTTTTGCTGCAGAGTGTGTTTGTAAAATTATCAGCCAGTGCGAAAATGCTGGCAATGCTCACTTTGACATAGCTCTGGCACAGGAAATGAAGCAGAGAGATTCAAGAGGTATGTGTGAAAAATTAGTATGCAAACAACAATGCAACGTTTTCCCAAAGTTCAAAATGGCACTTAATTTTGAGTAGTTTAATGAAATATGGGTAGGGTCTTTTCACACGTATTGTACTAGATGGTTTATTGAGATGAAATATCTTGTTTCTAGTTCCATTTAAAAAAAAACTATCTTAGTAAATTTGGGGTGGTTGTATTATTACCTACGGTCACTAATATCACTGTGATTTTTTTATACATTCCACATTTTAATTTGAACCAACACTATTATTTTTAGAGTTCAGAATTATTTTAAACCATTTTTTCTTTTATTACACACACACACACGCACGCACATTCACACTCTGGGCATACAGAGTGAGATTTGTATATGTTTGTGTGTACTGTGTTGAGTTAATTGCCTGGAGAAAGGCAGGATATAAACAAAATGAAATGAAATACACACACATGCATATGGGTAACTGCCAAATGAGAATAATGCTTCATGTTTCTGTTGAAATGAACCTTAGTCCTCAAAGTTTAAGCCATAATAAATCTGTTGATTTTAAAGATTTTACTCAAACTCTTTGTAGTTTTACCGCTACAGACAAAGACAACTAGGTTTTTGGAAATTGAAAACAGTTTTCCAGCTATGGTAAGCTTAAGACAAGTTGGAAACTTGCTTACTCAATGCAAAATGCCAACGGTGTGCAATTGTAGTTGTGACTTCCTGGTATAGCAGTTTTATTGTCCAAAGTGATACTGATTTATGCATAAAAATATAAATCAGGAGTGATGGAAGAAGAGTGGTGAAGGAAATGTCATAAATGGGTTAATATTGATAAAAACAATAACTATATTTCTCTTATCAGTAAACTCTGATTTTTCCTTTTTATTATGCTTAGATGATTTCTTAGTACTGCATTTAGCTGACTTGATCCGCATGGCTTTTATGGCTGCCACTGATCACAGTGACCATCTTCGTCTTTCTGGTCTTCAGATGTTGTTAGTTCTCATTCGAAAGTTTGCTGCTGTACCAGAACCAGAGTTCCCAGGCCATTTAATTCTGGAGCAATATCAGGCAAATGTAAGTAGCTAAACAGTTTATTGAAAAAATAAAATAAAATGTATGATCTTGAAGACAAAAAATACAAAATTGTAAAATAATACACATTTACATCTTATTCAAGAAGCTGAATAAATTTTGTTAATTTGGCCAAGTTCAGTGCTGGAGTTGTAGCAAACCAGCACTGCAAATGGTCCCACAAGAAAGCATATATGCATGGAGAAGGAATGGGGCCAGGTTGGTGGGTAATCTTTTAGCATGCCAAAACTATACAGGAGGCTACCACTTATCTGACCACACCACTGTCAGAGAGTGGAATCAGTTGAAAACTGGAACCCAGTCTTTTTCTTGCTTGAAAACGCTCTTAACAAAATAAATAATACCCCACAGTATAGACAGCCTCCAAGTTATGAACAAGATAGGGTCTGTGTTAGAATTTTTATCATTTCTCAAGTAACAAGTAGTGTAAGAATCAGGGCAGCAAATCGGTGGGGGAAAGCTTCCGCGGCTGTTTGTGACTACACATCTTCATCATGACAGTCTGTAGGTTTGTTCTTAAGTTGATTTGTTTTGTAAGTTGAAACAGGTGCATTTTAAAAGTGTAACTCCAGATAAGCTTTGGATAGCATAGGGAAGGGTTAACACCGCTATGATGTTTGTTTTGATTTTTGTGCCTCTGGTTCAGAAGATTCCACCTCACTTTCTGTCCTTATTATTATTAGAGTTTGAAAAACTTGTCTTGTTGTGAAAACAAGGATTGATGTAAAGCTTCAGTAGAGACACCTTTTCCCCATGAAAATTCTTTCAGGAGTGAATTTCCCTTCCGAGGAGTCAATTTCTTTAATTTCTGTTGTCTCAGACCATTCTTAACCATGAGTCATTTGTAAGTCAGATGTTTGCAACTCCAGAGACTGTATACTGTAACATGTGTGCAAGCAGTTTCAAATAAGTTTTGTAGTTAAGATAAATGGATGAAGGGGAATATCTATAATCAAATCAGTGGAACTTGTCTGTAATTTGAAAAGCAGATTGTCAGAAAGTGATGCATCCAAAGGCAAGGGAAGTCTATATAAGACACATCTACCCTCAGTCCTCCCCAAAACAATCCTGTATCTGTGGGTTGCCTGAAACTATGCCAACTTTGTGTCTGCAGAGTCCTCGTCTCTGATAAGAGAACAGTTATGTAGAAGGTGTAATATGAATTATCCAATACATGACATCATTTGTAATATAAAATGAATTTCCTCATTGTGTGTAAGTCGCTGCTATATGTATAACAGCAGTTCACCATGTGATGACAGTCAGCATATAGAGTGATTTTAATCTGGTGTCTAAATTAGGAATGATCTTTGAAGTTATCAGTTTCTACAGTGAAATAAAGTCATATGCATAGTATCACCTGTTACTGCTTCAAGTACATTATACTCAAAGACAATACATAGTTATAAAAATTAGATGAGCCAATTTTCCTAAATTAGTTATTCCACTCTAAATACAATTTAGTGCTAACTAGAGGAGAACTAATCAATCAAAGGATCTTGATTCCCATTGATTAATCAGCTCTACTCTAGTTGGGAGTAACAGTTGGATTTAGGGTTCTGATAAAACAATTTTAACCCTTATCATATTTTTAGGTTGGGGCAGCACTTAGACCGGCCTTTAGCTCAGAAACACCACCAGATGTAACAGCAAAAGCATGCCAGGTAAGTTTAAAACAAACAAAAAACCCTATTAATGTAAATTCCATTGACTATTGGTTAAGGTTTATGTACTCAGGGAACAACAGACTACCTCTGTGGTTGTAAGAGAGTGATTCCCTCATCCCTCAGCAATCCCTGTATATTCTCCTCCTCAAATATCTCTAGATAAGAGGGGAACCTGCCAGAATGTTTGTTTGTTTGGCTTTGGTGAGGGCTTCAGAAGTAAGGGAAGATGTTTGAGCCCTGTTTGTTATTCAGATTTAGACGGATACATTTACATTGGCTCCTAAACATGGAAATGTTGAACTCCTGAATGTAGCATATGGGTATGCATAATACACAAAGACCTAATGGAGTTATCGGACTGCCTTACAAAAGATTTGTAGGCTTTTTAAGAAATAAATTTTTGAAGCCAGTTTCTCATAATTCTTGCCTGACTGCTTCCTGTTGAAAATTAAACAATCAGTAGTATTACTGTTTTGTGGGAGTAGGATAAACTATTATAGAAGATTCATCCTGAAGAATAATGGAATTCTGTGGGTTGCTGAGGTGTCTAATGGATTTCATAACTTGAATGAATAGTGCTTCTGTGAAATCCCTTGTGTGTCTAGAGAAAGAAGGAACGACCTGGCTGTGTTGATGTCCTCTCTCCAAAGTGTCTTCTCTAGCTGTGCATCTCTCCTTAGCATACTAACGACTTTTAAGTGTGATGGGTTGGTAGATGTATAGAATGTGAATTCAGGACAAATCCAATAGAACTCATGGATAAATTCATTATAAATACTTTCTGTCAGTGATGCTGCTGAACTGTCCTTAGTGGAAGTGCAAATTTGTCCATTTAATCTGACATTTTCTAAATCAGTTTCCATTACAATTTATTCCTAATTATGGCAATGAAACTGTCTTGATTATCTTTGCTGGGAAGGAGATCGGGTAATGTGTTTTGGACCACCTATCGGTAAATAAACAAGTATACAGACACATGGTTGGTGTTACTCTCTTGTCTATATTTCTCTCTCTGGGAAAAATACTTTGTAGCGTTAAGAAAAATAAGCATACTGTTCACTGTCATGCTAGGTTTGCAGTGCCTGGATAGCAAGTGGTGTAGTAAATGACCTTAATGATCTTCAGAGAGTTCATCAGTTGCTGGTAACATCCTTGATTAAAGTACAGGCTGGAAAAGAAGCACAAAGTCAGCTGTACAATGAAGCCACGACAACTATGGAGACATTGGCTGTTCTAAAAGCTTGGGCAGAGGTATTTCAAAAACATGTCTTTGGAACTGTAATTGTGGGTCAAGATCCAAAAGCACTACAGGTTGAATATCCCTTATCCAGAAATCTGAAATGCTCTAAAACCCAAAAATAGCCATATAGTTGACTAAGATAGTGATAGTTTGGCTTTCGGATTGTTCAATATAAACAGACTTGGTTAAATGCAGAAAATTATTTAAAATGCTGTATATAAAATTACCTCTAGGCTATGTGTACACGGAATGTAAATGAATATGAAATGTAAACTAATTTCATGTTTATACTTGGGTCCTATCTTCAAGATATGTATAAGCAAACATTCCAAAATAATTTAAAAAATCAAAAACACTTCTGATCCCAAACATATCAGAGAAAAGATATTCAACCTGTAGTAATTAAAAAGTGGAACTGTATCCTTACTGAGCCAAAATCAGTTATGTTCTGTTGAATATGTTGTATAAAAACAATCCTATAAAGAAATATGTTTTTAATTGAGTTATCTTTAGCAATTGTGTCTGCTTTTATTCCAGATAGTGCAGAACCATTATCCATATGCATTTTGGATGCTAACCTTCCTTATGTTAACTCTGTGGCTTAGAAAGTTTGTTTTCCAATTAAATAGGAAATATCTCACAATCACACAGCCTTGGGTTCTGCATTATAATGGATTTGTCAGGATAACAATCAAATTGAAGATCACCATCATTTGTCATCAAGTTGAGGGAGTATGTGCATGTTGTTCTGGCATTTTTCAATTTGGCCCATTATTTGTATATTATGTACTCATTAAATTGTCCCATTGTTACTGGCAGATAAGTAGTATATACTAAAAGGGTGATTCACATTGCAGGTACCTGTAGCTGAAGGCACTGCCATCATTCTGTCCCCCACCTAACTGCATTTTCAAAACTCATAACAAGGACAGAGTCACTATACATGCTTTCTACTTATTCTCATAAACCCTTTTCTCTGTGGGTAGAAAGGATGAAATTTGGCTGTTTTCTGTTCTTCCCACTCATTCCCCCATACAAATTCTATCAGAAAGAAATGAGAAAAATAGCAGGGATAAAAACTAGTTTTCTTCTGCAAAATACAGAGTGACTACTTTAAATATGAAGCAATAGAGGTATATAATCTTTCCTTATCAAAGGCACAATGGTTATTTATTTATTTATTTTATCGTGTCATCCGCAACCATACCATTGTGTTACAATTCTAACAGAACAAAACAAACACACAGATTAAAAAGAAAAAGAAAAAAACAAAGAAAAAAAACACACAGATTTTGCAAACTTGGTAGTTGGTTAAATGTCCTTTGACCAGTATCTGGCCACTTGGAGTGCCTCTGGTGTTGCCGCAAGAAGGTCCTCCATTGTGCATGTGGCAGGGCTCAGGTTGCATTGCAGCAGGTGGTCTGTGGTTTGTTCTTCTCCGCACTCGCATGCCGAGGATTCCACCCTGTAGCCCCATTTCTTAAGATTGGCTCTGCATCTCGTGGTGCCAGAGCGCAGTCTGTTCAGCGCCTTCCAAGTCGCCCAGTCTTCTGTGTGCCCAGGGAGGCACAATGGTTAAAGGGTTGGAAAGAGGCAATCAGAACACATGGTCACTGCATGAACTTCTATATGTAGAGGGAATTTATGACTTCTGTTGAATGATAACCAAAGATCCATCTAGTCTAGCATTCTTTAATGCTTGAAGACAAACTAGCCTCCATTATTTTTCCTGAGCAGATCTAAGGGAGATAGCCTTAGAACCTAAGGTTCCATATAGTTGTCAAAACAAATACCATATTCCATCACTACTAAGACACCATTGATTGTAAGATGCACACTAATTTATGTACTAATTTTTGAGATGTTTCTATGTGGAAAGAAATTCTTCTTAGAATTGAAGAAATACAGTAGTAAGAACTTATTTGTTATTAATCTACCTAACTCTCTTTCAAGCCAACTAAGCTTTTGCCAGTACATCTTGTGGCGAGAATTTTTAAAAAAGTGAATTCCTTCATCCCCCCCCCACCAAAAAAGTTTAGTTTACTAATGTTTGAAATAATCATAACCAATGCATATTATTAAAGATGATATTTAGAATCAATAAAAAGTGACTTCGTGATAGTAGTATACTATACTGGTTTTATAGTCAGCACATATTCAAAACTTTATTTACTAAGCATTCAAAGTAATGTTGAGCGAGACTTTGCTGCTTAATGCCACTAATCTAATGTATAGTATGTTAGGAGGATGCTGACACTGTCATAGATATATTCTGTTTTACATATGGGGATGAAAGGTAATTCTGAAAAATGAAATTGGTGAGGATTTGGGTAATAATGAACTACTACTAGTGATTTTAGGATGCTAAAAATTTCAGCAGAGACTGAATTAGTTTCATCCAAATTCTTATTGGGTGAAATACAATCAATTTTGTTGTTACAGGTTTATATAGTTGCGGTAGAAAGACAGAAAAAACAAAGCCACGTTAGTAGGCCACTGTTTGCCACAAACATCAGAGAGGAGAGCTGCAGGGATCAAACCTCTTCAGTAGATGATCTTTTGCAGCTAGTTCAAGCAGACTTGGGAAATCTGAGCAAGCTCTGGCTTGCTGCACTTCAGGATTTTGCTCTCTTAACTTTGCCTTTGGAATACACCTCTCAACTTCCTATTGAAGGTAGGAGGCAAATCGAATGATAATGTTTCTCTTGAAAGTATTTGCAAAATGTATAGTACTGTAATTCAGATGCCACATAACTTGGTTCCCAACCTGTGGACCGTGGCTCTAGATTATTAAATGTGTTTTTCTGTGGGTGAGCAGATGGCGACTACTGGGTGGCATATGTTCTGTATCAGAAACTAGAGCTGATGTGGTCTATTCAATGCAGTTTTCTGAATCAGCACCCCAAATAACCAAACCGAATCTAAAGTTGAACAAAAACTGATTCATAACTCTTTTGGTACTAATATTGGAGAGTGGTCCCTGGTCAAAGTGATTCCTGGTCAAGTGGTCCCTGGTCAAAGTGGTGTCCGGTCAAAAAAAAGGTTGGGAACCACTGACCTAGACTAAAATGTGCTGATGACATGATGCTGGGAACAATAATAACATTTAATCAACAGATATTTCGACATTTATGCAGATATCATTTCTTCAGTACATCTACTCTAATCATACTCATTTGGAAATGGGAGGCTGTCAACAAATTCCAGAAGTAGTTGTAGGTTTTTTCATGTTCTTGAGGCATGTTCCACTTGGTGTGATCTTTACAGAGTGTTTGAAATCTCCAAGTGATCCAAGTTGCTGCAGCAGATTTGTAACTGGTTGCATACAATTCCCCTGTTATAACTACTTCAATGCTACTAATTTGGAGAGATTTGTTTTTCCCCCCAAACTGAATATTTTTAAAGAAAGGTCTTTATTAACATGATGTACTGTTTTAATGTGTATATTATATTGTTTTAATGTAATTCATGGTTTAATTATTGCTAAATGGTAACATTGTATGTGCTCATCCATATTGGATCTAGTTTAATTTGTAAGAATGCATCTTGAGTCCAGTTTTTTTTTTGGGGGGGGGGGGGGGGTGTCAGATTTAAGGTTTATAGAGTGCAATGAAATTGATAAATTTTAGTAAAATGATATCTCATATTTTATGAGTAATACTACTTGTAGAGAATGCCTTGCCAAGTCCTATATGTTTGTAGAAAAATGAAGTACATTTAAAACATTATTTCCCTATAATTGTTTGGATAATGCTGAACTTTTATTGCTTCTTGTAGGTGGTGCTTTCTATACTGCAGAGACAATTGAAAATTCAAGACCACACTATCAAAACTCCTGGGCTCTGATTCTTTATGCTACAGCATTGTGGCTTACGAATACAGGTTTCCTTATAGGCGATTCCGATGAAGGCCTAACTAATCTATCTCGACCTGTCACTCCAACTACTATGTGTCAAGACTCAACATCTAAGGCTGCTGTAAAGTCACCTGAAGATGTCAATACAGAAAGATTTCATCTTATCTTGGGTTAGTGAGTGGATGAACTTTTTTGTGTTGTTTTGCATTATTTTAGTCTGGTATCCTTGGAAATATCCATGTAGACGGTTAACATATATGTCAAGGAGGTTAATATGCAAACCTTGATAAAATTACTACAGAATATGATTATGCTATACTGAATTACTCCTTTGAGTCTCCCCAGGGGTGAGAAAGGTGGTATATAAATACTGCAAATAAATAAATAAATAATCTTAGCTGATGATACTTAAACAATATTGGCATCAGATCTGAAATCTAATTCTCCTGAATTCCTTTCCAAGCACAACATGTATTCTGTTATATCCTAGAGTTTGTAGTTTGGAGAGGTCTCTCTGGCTGAAAAATAAAAAAAAATACTACTGCCTTCCCTGTGCAGATCCTAGAATTCCACTGGATGTTGCCATGGTAGTTGAAGTGGGATCATAATGCTTCAATTATGTAGTGTGACAGGGAATCTAGTCTCCAGAGTATGTGGTTTACTTCTCTCTTGATTTGTGCATGAAATTCCAGTTTTAGATTAGCTATAGATTTTATGAATCATGGTTACCTTTAGAGAATGCGTCAGGAAGATGGCAGTATAGCTGACACGGTGTTTCTTTCACTCTCTTGGTGTCTCCTGTTTTTTACTAATTTTTTGAGATGCACAAATGAAAAAGAATATCGGCAACAGTCTCATATGTTTATGATAAGTTACTCTTGTCATAAGTGGAGCTTTGAACCTAACCAACAACATTATTACTAATCAACTCTGAAGAGCAAAAGAGGTTACAATTTTTTGCCAGTTGAATGGTGTTGTTTTGGCGGCATGTAGAGAGCACACAACTTCCATATTACGTCAGCTCCACTGACTGCCTGTTTGCTACTGGCACAATTCAAAGTGCTGGCTTTGGCCTATCAAGCCCTAAAAGGCCCCGGCCCAGTTTACCTATCTGAACGCATCTCCCTTTATGAACCACTGCGAAAACTAAGGTTTTCTGGGGAGTCCCTGCTCTTGGTCCTGCTACTATCACAGGCGCATTTGGTGAGGAAGAGACAGGGTCTTCTCAGTGATTGCCCTCTGGCTATAGAACTCCCTTCCTGGCGATATTAGATGAGCCCTCTCCCTCCTGTCTTTCAGAAGGATGGTGAAGACCTGGCTGTGTGACCAAGCTTTTGGAACAGTGCAATAAGGCAATAATAGAATTGTGTCCTGAAATGGTTTTTAAGCAACTGATTTTAAACTGGATATAAGTGATTTTATTGTTTGTATATATTTATGGTTTTATGCCCCAGCATTGAATGTTTGCCATATGTTGTGCTCCGCCTTGAGCCCCTTGAGGGGTGAGAAGGGCAAAATATAAATGTTTTAACTATATAAATAAATAAATAAATAAATAAATAAATAAATAAATAAATAAATTTGCTCTAGCTCTAGAAACATGATTTTAATTCATTATTTCAATAGTTATTCTCCCCTCTCTTCTTCAGGAATTAGTGTGGAATTTCTGTGTTCTCCTCGATCAGATGCAGCAATGGAAGACATTACATCTTGTCTACATGCCCTGCAGGCGATGCTTGATGTTCCTTGGCCAAGGACTAAAATTGGTAGTGACCAGGTAAAAGTCTAACTTGGAAAATCTGAGTTTGAATAGTTTGATTTTATGAGGGTTGCTTTTCTTGTCATATATAAGAAACAGCTTCTTCTGTTACATCCCATCATTATATCCTTATTATTCTTATAATATGATGTTTAAGTTTACTTTATTATTCAGGTTAATAAGCAGTTAAATAGATTGAGACAAAACCACTTCATGGAGGAACAGGCAGTGTCAGTAAAATGTGGACATGCATTGGTTCCCTAGTGATTTTTAAAATCAAATTAGTCAGTCTCTTTTGTTAGTGTTTTCCTATTATGTAGCCTATGTGGGGAGCCCCTGGTGGCGCAGCAGGTTAAACCACTGAGCTGCTGAACTTGCTGACCGAAAGGTCGGCGGTTCAGATCCAGGGAGCAGGGTGAGCTCCTGCTGTTAGCCCCAGTTTCTCCCAACTTAGCAGTTTGAAAACATGCAAATGTGACTAGCCCAATAGGTACCGCTCCGGCTGGAAGGTAACAGCACTCCATGCAGTTAGGTCAGCCACTTGACCTTGGAGGCATCTACAGACAACACACCGGCTCTTCAGCTTAGAAATGGAGATGAACACCACCCCCCAGAGTCAGACTGAACTAGACTTAATGTCAAGGGGAAACTGTTACCTTTACCTAGTCTATGTGTATGTATTAAGTTGTCAATAAATGATCTCAGCATTAGTCATGAATTCACATATGTTTCACTCTTATTCCAAGCTTCCTAAAGAGTTATACTAAGGATAACAGTTGACATTTTAAAAGTTAATGAAAAGGCCTTTACCTGTTTTCCTCATGTAGGAACAGAGTGTTGAGCTGCTGAATGTTTTGCACCGTCTTATACTGACCAGAGAGTCCCCTGACATTCAACTTGCTGCTCTAGAAGTTGTTCAGCACATACTTTTTGCAGCACAAGAACATGTCAAGGAAAAACGGAGAAGTGCAGAAGGTAAACTTACCAAATTTCTAATGGTTGTGGTTTTACTATTTTTTTTTAAAAAAAATAATCTGGTATTCTCCCCATTAGTGGTGTATTTGACAACCTGGCAAAATGGCACTACCTAAAAGAATCCCCCACCTTGTATGACTGTGAAGCAGAACAGATAACTCCGTATATGTATGCTTGTCCACTATGCCCTGCCTCACAGAGAAATAATTGTTGGAGTCTACAAACAATGCCGTTGCTGTTGCCTGTTTCTGGTCAAAAGATATTTAGCTGCTTTTACTCCTTCTATTTTTATCATTTTCATACTAATTTATGCAATGCTTTTGATACAAAATAAAAATACATTATTGTTGTTATTATGTTTATTTATATTCCGCTTTTTTCTCCGTACGGAGACTCAAAGCGGCTCACAACCAAAATTTATTTATTTATTTAGGACATTTGTATCCCTTCCTATCTCGACCTCCGCAAAGGGACTCAGGGCGGCTAGCAGCAAAAAACAAATATACATAAGTAAAAACAATATAAAACTTTATAAAAAAAATTAAAACAATTGCCAATTTAAGTCATTGTCCTAAAAGCAGTCCATCAGAGTCCATTAAAACCATAGCTTTACCATCAAGTCATTCTCTCGTTCCCATCAATTGAGCTTGAGATGGAGGTGGGACTGCAAGAAGGCATCTCCTGAATATCTCAGCACCCGGGCAAGTTCAAACAAGGGGATGCTATCAGTCAGATAGCCTTGACATGAACAGTCTAGAGCTTTAAAGATCATAACCAGCACTTGTGCCTGGTAACAGATTGGTAGCCAGTGGAACTAACAGTATGCTTTAAATATGCATTCCTGGTTCTTTTTTTACATTTAATCATTCTGGTGGTAGGGGAGAAGAGCACTGGGAATCAATATAGAATGTCCCTTGGCTGTGCTTCAGTGTATTCCTTATTTCCCTTTTCTTAGTGAACATTACTGTTAAATATAGTGTCTTTAAATTGCTAGTTCCAGCTACAGTAGACTCACTGAATCAATAGGATTGATGTAACATTTAGCACAATTGTTACAATTTGTTTCAAAGAAAAGTCACATTGTCTTGTAGATGGTACTTTATCTGCTAGCAAACAGTTGAAACATCTTCCACATGACATTCATTGTCAGAACCTTTTTTTCATGTCAGGAGTGACTTGAGAAACTGCAAGTTGCTTTTGGTGTGAGAGAATTGGCCGTCTACAAGGATGTTACCCAGGGGATGCCCGGATGTTTTACCATCCTGTGGGAGGCTTCTCTCATGTCCCAGCATGAGAAGCTGGAGCTGACAGAGGGAGCTCACCCTGCCTTGCGGATCCAAACTGCCGAACCTTTCGTTCAGCAGTCCTGCCAGCACAAGGGTTTAACCCATTGTGCCACCAGGGGCTCCATTGTTAGAACTGAGCGATTACAACAGTACCAGCTTTATAAAAGGTCTCGCATGCAAAACTCCCGCTCGTGGAAAAAAGGTATCTAAATTGTTCATTGATTCATCAGTCCATAGTCCTTTGTTCTAATGTCTATATACTGTAAACATTTTCAATATAAGCTTGTCCATCCTAAGGATAAACATGCTGAGTGTTTTCTTGCTTCCTGGATTGTCCTAGCCAAGTGTTTTGGAAAAATTGTGTCCTTTAAATCTTGTCAGTATCTGTAACCTATGTTCCTTGTTGACATTTATTGCATGACTTCTAATGGGTCATGACAATAATTCATAAAATTCCATATTCTGGGTAAAAGATTCTTCAATCTCAGACACCATTGTTCTTCTGTCCTTCTTCATCGTGAAAGGGCATCTTCACACAGAAGTCTCTTTCTGTGCATAGACTGATCTTGCTGCATTAATTAATGTAATAATTTTATAATTCTATCCATAAACAAACTAGAAGTAGAACAGTTCAAATAGTTGCTATTTATGAAGATTCAAGAAGTATATTTTTAAACAAAAGGGCATTTGTTACATAGCTTTGTCTTTTTTTCATTTTAGTTGATGATGGGGCTGAAGAAAAGGAAACTTTGCCAGAATTTGGAGAAGGAAAAGACACAGGAGGACTGATACCTGGAAAGTCCTTAGTTTTTGCAACCCTAGAGATGTGTATGTGCATTCTTGTAAGGCAGCTACCTCAGCTTAACCCAAAGATAACAGGTAGTCCTGGAATTACAGCTGGAAAACCTCAACTATTATCAGAGAATGGAAGCAAGCTGGTGTCAGCAGCATTAGGAATCCTTTCTGACATTCCAGGAGTTTGCTCACCAGAAGGTAGGATGAAATATTACGCTTTGTTTTAAGTGGGAGGGAATTAAGGAGGCGGTACCCTGGAGTGTGGGGGAGAAAGCCTTGTGCCATTATATTTTAAGGCAGTACATTTTATTTATTTATTTACCGTATTTATATTTCACCCTCTCATCCCAAAGAGGATATAAGGATATAACACATATATGGCATACTTTCAATGCCATTATACACTGACAGGACAGACAATGGTACAGATAAAGGTATATAGGCTTTTCCCATCTTCGGCATCCTGGACGTTGTGCTTGATTCCTGCCCAGGGAAGGGTGCTGTCACTCTATCCTCCATGCCAAAGAGCCCTGTTCACAGACCTCCTCCTTTTTTATTGAATCGCAGGCATTTCTGGTATTTCCTTATAGTGCCATTAAAATGCCTCCCTGCTAAAGCTGTACCTACCTATTTATCTACTCATAGCTGTTTTTGATCTGCTGGGCAAGCAGTAACCTGGGCTGAAGGTTGGGCGTGCACCCCCGACCCGGGCTTTGAACTACCAACCTTTTGATTGTCAAGATTTATTGCAGCTGGTGGTTAAGTAGCTGTGCTAAAGCCTGGCTAAAAACAATTTGTTTTTAGCAGATTAAAAACAAGTTGTTGAGACAAAGAAATAAAAAAAAACATGCAAACAGTAAAAAAATAAAAAGTAGTATAATATATCTGAGCTGTCAACTCACACATGATCATGGTTCTGAGGTCATACACTACTGATAGCCCACTGATGGACATGAACCATTTTTTTTTCCAAAGAGGTCAGATGATAGCATATTATCAGAACTGGCTATTTCTTTTCTATGTGCTTACCATATTGCAAGCCTTTGTCCCAAACAGTGTTCTCTTAATATTTCCGTATAGCATCTAGTGATAATAAGCACATTTAATAAATCATTTTGTATCTGAGAAATAACTTATACCATATATACATCCAATAAACAACACATTCTTCCTCTCAATTCTGAAACAGAAATGTATTTTATGTCCAACAGATTTTAGCCAAAATATTATTTCATCATATGCATTGAATAAAAGCTGCAGTTTAAGCCTATAGTAGACTGTTTTTCTTTGTAACAGTTGAAGGATTGTTGTCTAGGCAGATGCAGTGCCATGGAATTGTTTTTCTTCCTCCTTCCTATTCCTAGGAAATCGGGGATGAACCTAATACACATAAACTGAATATTGTACACTTCTTTCTCTCACATGACTAAATTTCTTTTGATAGTTCTTACGTGTTACAACATATCTTTCCATTTATCTGTTTGATTTACATTTTTCCTTTCTCCAGAAATGGCAAATGTAAATCTTACAATGTCTTTTAGTAGCATACTATTAAAAATGTACTACTGGTGGGGACTACTATGCGTACCTAATTCCTTAGCCTTCTTCAGTGGAGAGGGTTTTTTTTAAAATTATTTTACCAAAGACTGATGAGTAGAAAGGTGCCTGAAAGAGAATTGTGCTCATTCTCTTTTAGCAAGAGAGTCAACCTTAAACAAGAGTAGCTGAAAATAGACCTTGTTGAACAAATACTAATAAGATAGTAGGCGTGACCTTACCCCCCCCCCCCCCCCCCCATTCTGTGATTGCAATATTATTGTTTTTCTATTTCTCTGGGATACTTGTCGGTTAACATTTAATGAACATAAAATATCCCTTTTGTCACATCTTGCAGGGAGCATTGCTGTGCTTCCTACTATATTATATCTGATTATTGGAGTCCTGAGAGAAACTGCTGTAAAGTTACCAACTGGCCAGATACCTTTAACTGTTGCTGCATCTCTACAAGCTCTTAAAGGAGTGCTGTCTTCGCCCATGGCCCGGGCTGAGAAGAGCCGAGCTGCTTGGAATGAATTGCTCTGTAGTGCTTTCGTCTCTATCCTTAATTTTTGGAATCAAGGTACGTTAGAGTGAAGGTAGTGTCTAGGTACAGGTCAGCAAAGGGTGGGGGAGGCGTGATTTGCCAGCAATTGAATATGATCCATACCATATGAACTGAGTGCTGTTTTATATGTAATACTCTGGTAAAACATTGGTTTTTGATGTTTGGTCCTCCAGATGTTTTGTATTCAAGCTCCAAGAATCCCTGGTGGAATCCCATGCAGGTTGGGACTTCTCAAGTATGAAATACAAAACACCTGGAGACGCAAACACTGAAGACCATTGCATCAATGTACTGTGTCATAAAAAAGCAAGTTGCCACTGAGACCTAGATAATTGTCATTCAAGAGGTGAATTGATTAAAAGTGCAAGTGTGCGGGTTGCTTACTCATTTGTACTTACATTTGTAGTACTTGGTCATAAAACTGCTTTTGCTTCTTTACTAGCTCATTTGGCTTTCTTTACCCCTCCACTTTCAGTTAAAATTGGCTTACACAAATTTTATACCTTGCTAACCATTCCTTTTCTTCTTTACTTTTTCTAAATCTGTTTATATCCAAACTCTTCTTTCTTATTTTATTGAAAACCTTTTTATTGTCATTTTTTCTTGCTGATTGACTTTTAAAATTGAATGTGTTGAGGTTTATCTCTGGAAAATATCTACATACAAGTAGTCAGACTTCCACATTTGCTGAATTTAGGGGCATAGAATCCCCATGAAAGTGAAAAACAACAAATAAATTGCTTTTTTTTTTACCCAAAAGAACATCTTTCTTCAAATTTGTAAGTCTTCCAGCACAACTCTGTAGTCATCCTCAGATGGCAGCTGAACATGTTATCTCATTGGAGGGCCTAGAGATTTCTAGAGAGAACATTTTAATCAAATCGCAAATATGGAGGGAAAACTATACTGTATGAACTTGCCATACTAAACTTTTGCCATCTGTTTAGCCCAGAGTTATCAGCCGGCTGGTAACCAAGATCTCAGATGCAAAACTTCCCCAAGTTTTATCAGAAGATGCCATGGATCAAAACTGTGGCCTTCACTACATTGTGTGTTCTGCCACTGAGCTCTGATCTCACTATGTTTGTGGCGGGAAAAATAGGTCCTAACAGGGTACATTTATTATAGTCATTTCTCAAAGTCAGGTTTCCAGAAGCCATTCCAGTATTTCTGCGCACCTCAAATACCCTAATGCTTAGCAACTTCAGAAGTGTGGATCCAGGTAATCATCCTGTCTCTGTCATCCAGGAAATATATTCTTCATTCACAGAAAAAAAACCCAAATATGCAGAATTTAACTAAACATTAGTATTTTGCTACTTTTTAACGTTGTTATACAGGTAAGTAAAACAATAGGGTTGTGCAATTTGGCTGGATTGCGTTTCATTTTCGGTATCTGAATTTCGGTGGGTACCTGGATCCATTCCATTTTCAGGAGAATCCTGAAATCCTAATAAAAAAAAATTTTTCCAGTCGGCAACTGAAAGATCTGAGGATCTCTTTTCTGTCATCAAATCTAAGAAACTGCCCTTTCTGTGATCATTTCACTTCTATCTTTCAAGAAGACCTGGGTTTAAATAAAGGACTTAAGAAAACAACCTTCCTGTGAACCTTTCTCTTGTCTTTTGAGGCAACCTGGGTTTAAGGCAAAAACTTAAGAAACCACTCTTCCTCCCTGTAGTCCACGTGTGGCCAAAAGAAACTGAAAGCAGCAGTTTTTCGGCAGCCACTGTTCTGTTGTGGCTGAAAAAAAATTGGTGGCAGAGCCCATGCCGTTATGGGCATCCGAACCAACCAAAGACCGTTTTTGAAAACGGATCTATGCACAACCCTTTAAAACAATCTATTGTCTCTTACATCTGCCCTATATGGATTAGATTGTTTTTATCTTTCATAGATGGTGCCCACCAAGAATTAGATGAAAGCAGTCTATTGACTGCCATTACAGTATTTATTTTGTCCTCAAGTCCAGAAGTTACTACTGTGGAATGCCTTCAGATGAGCTGCATTGAGAAGTTTAAATCCGCAATGGAATCTAAAGATTCTGTTGTGAGTATGCCACACAGTTATATTTATTGTTAAACCTGTTATCGTTCTTTATGTACTTAATGTTCAATTTTTCCACTCAAGGGGGGTAGCAATGGAAGGAATTTACTGTTAGAAAGTGTTGGGATACATTTCTCTGTACAAGGTAACACATGATTTATCTTTTCAGGCTTTTAAATATTTGTCTTTCTGCTGTTATCATTTTCTACCAAGAAATTTTGAACTGATAGGCAGTACAAAAATATGTAAATTAAATTCTGAATGCAAAATTATTATGCTTGATTGAAACTTTTACGCAGATGGCAAAAATTATCGCATGTTCATGTGATTTTATTTATAGCATCATTTTTTACACAGTGGGTTATTGATTTGTTTATAACTTATAGTACAAGTTCTTGTAGTTCATAAGAATAGGAGATTGTCACTTTGGATTTCTTGGTGTATTATACACTGACTTTCTTGCTGTCTGTTGTTCCCTTTTTCTCTATTGTTGGACCCAAGTGTAGATTCTTCATTTGGCATTAGTTTTAATAGTATATAACATAGTAACACAAATTCTGGTCAAAATTTCTGTTACTTGTTTTTTCTTACTTCAAACTATCTTAATGTTTTAGATACAACTGAAATGTTACCAGCTGCTACTGACCATTTTTCAGTATCCAAACAAAGCGATCTCATATCCTTACATTCAGTCATTGGCAGCATCAATTGTGAACAAACTTCAGGAAACAGAGAAAGCTAAACCTGAGAATTCTGCTGAACTTCAGGTTATTCAGGAAGGAATAAAGGTGGTAGCTGCTGTTATAGCCCTTGCTCAGGAGGAACACCGTAAGTGTCCACTGTAGAGGCAAACACATTTAACAACTGAATTAATTATAGATGAAAATATGAGTTTGAATACAATATCACTCCCTCAGTATGCTTAATTTTATTTTTAATTAATCTAAAAATAATTGAGAGAATGTTTGCTGAAGATCATGCTTCTGGATCAAATGCAGTGTTGTTGTATGCCTTCAAGTCATGTCTGACTTTTAGTGATCCTAAAGTGAACCTGTCACAGAGGGTTTTTTTCCAGCAATATTTGTTTGGGGGAGGGGGTGCCTTTGAGAAATCATACATTTCCTTGGCTGAGCAGATATTCAGACCTCAATCTTATGTGTTTCATAGTCCAGCACTCAAGCCACTATACCATGCTGGGTTTCTGTGTGTAGAATGAGGGGAATAATATGTGTGGAGGAGTCTCCTTTTCTGGAAAATTTTAAGCAAAGGCTGGGTGACCATCTGTCAGTAGTGCTTTGTGTGTTCCTGCATAGCAGTAGGGGGTTGAACTGGATGGTCCTTGTGGTCTTTTCCAATTCTGTGATTCTATTCTTCTAGTATTAAATTCTGCCCTGACTCCATTTGTATAATTAGAAATATTTTCAATCAACATTTTCTGGAAATACTCCCCAGGGTGCAGTTTTTCCCTCATCCATCTGTTTAAAAGTTTCTCTCTCAGGTTTTTAATATACATTTTAATATTATGGTTCCCTTTCTGCTCTAGTAGAATCTAACAACAACAACTATATATAGACCACCCTCTCTCCCAGAGGGAACTAAGGGGGGCTTACACACACAAAAGGCAAACATTCAATGCCCATAAGCAAATAGAAACACATCAAAATAATGCAAAACACAAAATAATAACCGTAAACTTATAACAGTAAAGAAATTAACATCAAAATGAAAAAACAGAATACGAGTAATCAAATAACCTTCCCCTTCTATTCTGCCAAGCCTTGTTTCAAAACACCCGAGTGCTTAATAAATCCAGTCTGTTCTTCTCTGATGGTACACTTAAGTTCCTCAACCCTGGCCTTGATCATGTAACAGATAAAATACCACAATCAATTACTCCTTCTCAGTCTACCATCTTTACAAACTTTTAACGATATTTTGCTAAGGAGAAATACCCATAAGCTTCATCTAATGAAAGTTTAAATCATAAAACATTATAATGTCTCTGTTAACAGATATGGCAGTTTACTATGGTCTTGCAGAGTAAAATTATTATAAACAGATAGGACTATAACACTTACCTTAGATTTATAAGTTGAAACAAGGTTTATTCTGATTAGTTCAGTTCAAGCCGAGTCATATCTATATCTATCTATCTATATATGCCTATATCTATTAGTCTGAGCTTCAGTTTGTTAAAAATACCTTTGTCCACTTTGGAGAGGGTAAATATCTTAAGATAAAAATATTCTCAGAAGTTGGGAATTCTCATTCCACTCCAGAATGCTGGTCTTTGAAGCCCATTATTAAGAAGCAATCAAGAGGCGAGAAGGCATGCAACCATAGAGAGATGAAGGGGTTTCTGTCACTGTAAAACGAGTTGGGCAAGCTGCAGCTCTCCTTGATAGTATTGGACTGAAATTCCCATGATTTCTTCATATTAATTATTCTGGCTATGACTGTTGTCAGGTAACATCTGGAGGGATTTACTCTGTCTATCCGTCTATCCAAGACCAGTTTTTAGCCCTTTCAGAATGCTGCAATACAAAGCTTTTGCATATATCCTCACCAACTGTCACTGAAAGAATGTAATCCTGTGCATATTCACTCATATTTAGGATTTCAGCTACTTGTGAAGTTAATCAGTACTGAAGACTTTCTGTTTTTTTTAAACTTTCACAGGATCTCAACTAGTGGCTTGCTTTCTACCAATCCTGATTTCTTTTCTCTTGGACGAGAATGCCCTGGCATCAGCTACCAATTCAGCAAGGAGTCTACATGAGTTTGCTTTGCAGTATCTGATGCAGATTGGCCCACAGTATTCCTCAGTCTTTAAAAAACTAATGGCTGCCTCTCCGCCAATGAAAGCAAGGCTTGAATCAGCTGTGAAGGGCAATCAGGAAAGTATCAAGGACAAGACGTCCCCTCGACACTCAAAGAACCCTGGGAAAAGTGCAAGCATTCAATTAAAGACCAACTTTCTGTGAAATTGGTTGTTTTTAAATATTAAGCACTTTGATAATACTGAAGAGAGTCTTCCCTTTTCTCATCATGAAGTTGATTGCTGCTTTTCAAGTTTAGTTCTGCTAATACCTTGGAAATCAGAGCAGTAGCCCCATTCCAGAGAACTATCAATGATTAGTCAGTAACATGCATGGCTATGGCTGCTAGATGCGGAATGGGAACAAATATGCTGAATCAATTTACCTAATAAGTACCCAATCCACAAGAGGTTCCCTCTTGTCAACCAGAGTATATGCATTATAAAAGTATTGTTTCAGCAGTATGACATTTGTTTCATATTTTTCTAAACACTACACCATTTTGAGAAAAATATATTCCAAATGTTATACGTATGTTATGTTGGAAGCTTTATATATTTACATTAAAAGAATCTCATATTTGACACTCATATTAGCACAAATAAATTAGAAGTATATAATGCCTGTGATTCATCAGCGCAAAATACTATGCGTATATTTCTGTATTTTGCTTTGTATTCATCTAGCGGCTCCTAGTGTGGTACAGTCAACCCTTTTAAAATATCAATTTGGACATTTAAAAAAATACTTTGCAAATGAAACACTGAGAGCTGCTTCAGCAAAAATCTTTGTACTCATGCTCTTGGCTCCCACAATTGTCAGTGTGCATTTAGGCTAAATGGCACATAAAATGGTTCACTCCTCTGACAAATGAAGTGGGTTACTAGTTCAGGGAGTGCCACAAGGGTAGAAGATGAAATGTGACTATAGGCACAGACACATACAGTTGGGATACTCTTTAGACTTCACTATCAAACTACAGCAATTATTAAAAATGCTAATTATGTTATTACAGTATTATTGAATTATATGGATTGTCAAAGGCTTTCATGGCCAGAATCACTGGGTTGTATGGCCATGTTCCAGAAGCATTCTCTCCTGACATTTTGCCCACATCTATGGCAGGGATCCTTAGAGGTTGTGAGGTCTGTTGGAAACTAGACAAGAGAGGTTTTTATATCTGTGGATGTCTAGGGTGGAGAAAGAACTCTTGTCTGCTTGAGGCAAGTGTGAATGTTGCAGTTGGCCACTTTGATTAGCATTTAATGGCACTGCAGCTTCAATAGGGGATCCTTTGTTGGGAGGTGTTATCTGGCCCTGATTGATTCTTATCTGGAATTCCTGTTTTTTGAGTGTTGCTCTTTATTTATTGTCCTGATTTTAGAGTTTTTTAATACTGGTAGCCAGATCCTCCCAACAAAGGATTCTCCCAGGCAGCAACCAGCCAAGCTTTGAAGCTGCAAGGCCATTAAATGCTAATCAAGGTGGCCAATTGCAACATTCACACTTGCCTCCAGCAGGCAAGAGTTCTTTCTCGTGCCCTGGACATTCCACAGATATAAACCTCGCTTGCCTAGTTTCCAAAAGACCTCACAATCTCTGAGGATGCCTGTGAAATATCAGGAGAGAATACTTCTGGAACATGGCCATACAACCTGGAAAACTCACAGCAATTATAATTTTAATCTCTCAATTCCTTTCAATTCTGTCACATGTTTTAATTGCTAATTTAAGAAATGGTATCATTATGTAAAAAATAATAAATGTTCTTGGAGTCCCTGAAATTACGAATATTCTAGACCTGTATTTAAGATCTTACTATTTTCTTTAAGTTCTCATGAATTCTTATATTAGCAGCTTTATAATGATGCACATTTTACAGCTATTTGGAGACTATATTTACAAATTAAAGCACATATATTTGTCACCGAGGCCTTATTCTATCCGCAAAGTTCTACCTATTCTGTGAATTTCAAACATATCATGGTAGGTAGACAACTGAAGCTTATATACCTTGTTCAGTATATGAAAATTGTCTGGATCCAGAGTGCCTTTTGCATAAGGCACATGGTTATTTACCATGTTCTTCATTTCATAATATTTCCATGGGTAAAATGATGTATCAGTTATGCATCAGATTCATGGTAATAAGTAATCTTATTAAGATTGGCTTGAATTATGTTCAGCTGCAACTGAATCATGAGAAGAAACAACAAAATGGTACATTTTAACAATGGGTCATTTTTTAATAAAGACATCTAGCTATTAATTGCTTTAGCTATTACTTTAAGAATTATATTGGTAACTTGTGTTTTTTTAAACGTCAATATCACTTGAAGTCAGACAAATGCTAGGACAATTATGGTATTTCCATCTAGTAATTAGTGGGGGGGATATTATACATAGAACTTATACTCAGGAAATGGGTATTGTATTTTATTATAAATTTTGTATATAAAACTGTAAATTGTACAGACTTAACCATTTGAGTAAAATTCTAACAAGTCATTTTTTTCTAATCTGCATAAAGATAATTTTCCTCACTTCAATTGGTGTGATTGCTGGTTTATTCAATTTGAATTTTAGGTTTGTTTGTTTTTTTTAAAAAAACTACAGTCGCTGCCTTATGTACGTTGTTTCACAAAACAGTTTTTAAATATTATTTTTCCATCTTCATATATCTATAGTACACTTGTATTTACTAGCTTGTATTTACTCACAAGTTTTGTATTTGTCTGTTTGTTTGCTTTGTTCTGTTAGAAATGTAATATAATGGACTGGTTGCTCTGACATGACAAATAATACTAGCTTGTATAAGTCTTCAGGTTTGCCTTATATAACATCCCAGTAATATATTCTTTTGGGGTAATATCAGAACCAGAGTTAGGTAATAAAATGTATGATCTCTGGCCTGGATAAAATAGGTAATATTTCAGTGAAGAAGACTACTAGAACATGTACTCTATTATGTATCCCTTAGGAACTTTGCTGTACCAGATTTAAAATGCCCATGCATTTCAGCACTGTGTCTAACAGTGATGGTGCTAAAAGCAAAAGGAATATGAAGTGCAATTTTTCCTATTCCATGTACAAAAGACAATCAGACTTGATGCTAAATCTTACTCTAACAATGTCACTGTGACACTGTCCTTAACAAAACCTAGAGGCAGTAGGCAGATGACATGACACCCAGCTGTTCTCCACGGTTCCCACTGCAATCATTTTCTTCCTAAGGCAGCCATTTTACTCTGCCTAATGGTAGGGGTGGCCCTTATGAAGCCATCATGTATTGTTAAGAGGCAGAATGCTATCAAAATGAAAGTTTCATTTATTTATAGATTTGAATCCCATTTTCAGCAAGGAACTCTTAAAAGCAGCTGACAACAAAAGAGGCAATGGATTTATGCAGGAATGAATACACTAAAGAACTGTTTTAAAAGCATGAACATAGGAACAGAAATCTGGTATCTTGGCATTCCTCTGTTACTTCTCAACATGAATCAAGTATATGGAGTGAAGAAAGCCATTCTAGAAGATGCAAGTTCCTGATGTCCTGCCCTTGCTCTCTGCTAGACTTAGATGTATCAGTGATATCTATCATGAAGTTGTTTTATTCTTTTTTAAATGTGTGTCAAACACAAATTCATCTTAATTTGTGTTTGACAGTACCAGGTTATAAAAGTAACTTTGCATTGGAGACATACTAAAGTGATAAAATTGTTCAAGGTAATGTTGAAATGGAGCATGACAGAGATACATCCAAAAGAAGAGCTTGTTGAAAAATAGTTTTTAATTGGCTAGAAATCTGGAGGGGTGGGACCCAGCCAAGTTTGGAACTAATTACCATGTAAATTTTAGGCTAAGATGCTTGAGAGTATTTATGGAAACGTATTTCCATATAGATCCATATACTTACTGTCCAGATCTTGTCACATTTGCAATAGAATAGTAATATTCTAAACAAAGTCGTTGGCTAAGGCTCAGCCATCTCTAGTTTGTTTTGTCATGAGTTTGCTCATTAGTTCTGAACTCTATTACAAGTTTGATGGGTAGTCAGCTCCTCTAACCGCAGGAAGATTTCTCGTAAGTGCCTGTTGTCGGCTTCAGCTGTTGCACCAGTTGCAACCCATTCTACAGCTGGAGGATCTAAAAATGGTAATGTACACACTGGTAACCACAAGGCTGGACTTTTACCAAAGCTTGGCAGCCTGACTCATCACTAGTAGAGATCCTATTACGCTAATATTATAATCAATCCATTGGTTGCCAGTTAGTGTCCCAGGAAGGTACAAAGTGTTTGTTATAATAATAAACTTCATTTGTGTCCCACCACCATCTCCCCGAAGGGACTCAGGGCAGCTTACAAAGGCACTCCAGGGTGCAATATCTATATATATTAAAATGGTCTGTTCGTTTTGAGTGATCTAACTCAAAATTCGCTGGACGAATTGCCACCAAATTTGGCAGCAAGACACCTACTAACTCAAGGAGTGGCCGTCACTAAAAAGAATTGATTTTGTCATTTGGGAGTTGTAGTTGCTGGGATTTATAGTTCACCTACAATCAAAGAGCATTCTGAACCCCACCAACAATAGAATTGGGCCAAACCTCCCATACAGAACCCCCATGAGGAACAGAAAATACTATGTTCTGGTGGTCTTTGGTGACCCTTCTGACACCCCCTCGCAACCCCCCCCCCCAAGGGTCCTGACCCCCAGGCTGAGAAATTCTGCCTTAAGGCCATCCTGTCCAACTCCCTTCACCAGGGTACGAAAACATAAAGCCCTCCTGACAAAGAGCCACCAGCCATAGATATAGATATATGTGATCCACATACACACACATATATGTATATGACAGATATAGTATAAATTTGAAAGGGACTCCTAAAGAAGGACAATTATATTGTCATTCTCTGCATTGACTTATATGGAGGCAGGTAAGAAATTAATATTTTTATTAGTAACTAGCTTAGGTACCTGGCGATGCTCAGATCAGGTCTTTTGTAATGCTACTTATAATAAACAGTCATTGCTTGTTTTTATTTTGTATGGATACTCCAATTAAAAATGCACACTTATGTAACTATATCATTTGGGTAAGAGTATGCAAATGATGTGCTTAATTTTAGTATAATTTTGTAACAATTCAGTGTATTTTCTATATTAGTTGACTTAAACAATTCCTGCTGCTAGGAATTTCTTTGTTTTTCTTACTGAAAAAGCAGAATCATGCCGAACTAAAAGCAGAAGCTATTGATTTACTGCCCTGCTGAGCAGGTGGCAATTGATGACCATGAAAGACTTTATATCCGGAAAAGAAACATTACCTACTAAGGCTGAGCAAAGCTATATGTTGAATTATGGCCCTTAATATCTTAGCATACAGATATTTAATGCAACATACTTGTGTTGATGCATTAAGTAAACCAGATATGACTGGTTAAGAAGAACAAGCAAGCTCCCAAATAGCCAAGTGCAACAATTAAAGTTATCATTTTGTAAGATACAGG